ACTTGCGATCATTCTGATATCTTGTGAGTTGTCGTTGTTTTTTTTTGTTTTGTGTACGATGAACTCAAGGTCAATTTTACGAATTGCATGTCTCAAATTATCATTTCGTCTTACAAACACAGCGACAAAATTAAAATTCATACAAACAGTAAAAATAAGTCTCCGTATGATGTCGTTCAAAAGTCACACGATGAAGTATGTTAAATAGCTACGTTCATGAGTACGTAATATGTGTGCATGTCTTGAAATGATGTACCCAAGTCGATTCAATTTGCGTTAAGTTTTATAAATTATTTAAATAAATATATGACAGACGTTTATTTAGAGTATAAGTGTAAATAAGTTAGTTCGCATTTCGATATTGATATTTGAGTCATCGAGAACCACAAGTAAACAAAATTCTTTAATTTGCGAGCTCTTTAATTTAATTGATGAGTAAGGTTAAAACTAAACGAATACAAATTCGTCACCTAGATATGATTACTCATAGTTGATCTATTCACATTTCACATCATAGCATGAAGATTTTGTTCTAAATTCTAAAAAGACGGAAAAACGCATTTTATCGCACACATGCAATTAATGAGCAATGTAAATATGCTCCATTTTTCCTATGCAAAATATATATATATATGCGGAGTTGGCTTAAATTGAATTAAATCTCATTAAATATGTTAGATGAACATTGAGACGGAGGAAGAAAAAAAGCAGTTTGCAGTTTATTTTGAAAACTTGTTCTAGATTCTTTAGATATTGAAATGTTTGATGAAAAAGGCGGATGCACAAGAACTATTTCAAATATGAGGACACTTCGGCGCGAAGCATACACACAAAAACTTAATGCAAGTATTCTCAATGAAAAGAGAGAGAGAGAGAGAGAGAGAGGCGGAGAGAGAGTGAGCGAGAGTAAGACGAAAATTTCATACTTTTCAATTAAGAAAAAGAAAAAAAGAAAACCTCAAATGCAAAAGATATGTGTAAAACATGTATCTTTTTTGGTTAACGATAAGAAACAGTGGAAAATGAACGAAAGCACAAAATAAAATGACTGAAAAAAATATTATTACATTGCTTTTGGGTGAATGTATGCGTATGCATGTGTGTTGTTGAGTTTTGTCTGCGAGATGATCATCCAGCATATATAAGCGAAGAAAAAGATGAAGAAAGAATAGAGAGAGAGAAAGAAGCGAAAAAAAAACATTTCTGTCGAATACCTTTACACATACAACGGAAGCCGATTACTTAAGAAAGAAACGAAAAATAAAACAAAATATCAACACAAAAATACGATTTTATTTGTATAAAATACGCGCGGTATGTCGATCGAAACACCTCTCTCTTCTTCTCTACTGTGCGCGCATTTAATTCATCAGATTCTTTCGGTTTTCTGTGTGTTTTTTTCCCCATTTTTACTCACAGTTAGCCTAACACAAATACAAATACGATCGACAATTTTTAAGAAGAAATGAAAAAAAAAACACACGAGAGAAAAACGCGTATTCGATATTAAGACAAACTTCAGATTCGAACATTCCGCAGCCATACCACGGGCAAATGTGTTGTTTTCCTTGTTGAAATGTCTCCATCTCGCTCGTTTCGAATATTGTGTGTATTTTGTTTTTGGTCGTATCGTGTAAAAGATGTAACTTGTTCTTTTTTTATTCTCTCTTTCATTCGGCTCTCTCTCTCTATCTCTGTCTCTACACTTTACACAACCGAATCGCTTTCGTATGCACTACGCAAAGTGTGTTGTTATGTTGGTTCGACTTTATTATTATTATTATTGTTATTTTGAAATTCCTGTCTTCTGGTCTTACGTATTACCTACATATTTATTTTTATACACTCCAATGATAGTGAGTGGTTTTCATTGTGTTCACTTTTTTTTGGGCACTGCACGGTGACCATATAGCTGCACATATATCGATGTACGCGAACTTATGTGCATGCCCACTTGCATTGACAAATGCATTTATAATTGTTTTGGCTTTTCAATTTCTCCGGAATAATCATTGTTGATGATCAATTATTGCTTTATTACATGTTTACACTTTTATACCACATTTTTTATACAAAATTCGAAATTTGTCTCGAAAAGACTCTAAACATTTTGATCATTTGATAATTCAAGAAGTATTTTTTTTTTTCTCTGATCTGTTTGATCTGTGGTTAATTGTAAATGTGACCGGTTTATAATGTAAATATTAGCTTTCTGTTCTCTAAATATGTTTTTTTTTTTCAGGTCAAACTATGTATAGTTTTATTATCAACAAAATGAATAGATTTTCTTTTATTTAATTTACAGTTCCAATTTGATTTGAAAAAAGTTTTCTTACAAAAATATCGAAATAAAATTGTTTGATACGGCTGGTATTCATCTCGATATTTCGAAATCGATCTATAAGCTCAAAATCAGTCGAGATTAAAGTTTGTTTTTGATTCGCTCGAATTTCGGCATAAAAATGTTCTTGATTCATCTTCATAACTCATCGTTGTTTGTGTGAAATGATTTTGACCTAATATGCACGGATCAGTCGGCGAGAATTATCTATTTCTGGATATACTGAAGCATTCATTGAAATTCATGAGGTTGTCTTTCATCACGATGCAAAGATTTTGTTCATTTGAGGCGATAAAACGAATGAATAGACTTGATGATTTTATGTGCTACATTTAATAAATCAAATTAGTGTTGTTTCTTGAAGAAAAGTCATTTAACTATTAGGTCAAAATGCTAATTCGTTATAATTCATACGGAATGAATTTTCGAGAATGAGGTAAATATTTCAATAGAATTGGATTTAATTTGTAGTTTTTGTTGTTGGCGACGATGATGTTGAGGATGACGTTTTCACAGTATGAATAAACACCCAGTAAATTGCAGCAATATCATTAAGCATGTAAATCTTTATTTACCTCTTTTGCAAAAGACATGTATAAAAATAACCAGAGACAGATAGCAATGACCTATTAGTCTAATAAAACATGACTACCATAAAGAAAATATGAAAAGAACAAAGCTTCACACATTGTTGTTTCTACTGCTTTTTTACACATTATAATTATCGGGCACTTTTTCGGCTAGGCAAATATTCGAAAATGTCGTTCAGGTAATAAAAGTAAAGTACAGTATTTGCATTTCAATTGTACGTACTACTAAGAGAAGTGTGACATGACAATATTACAACATAAGATTTTGGTATTTGATGAATATTACATGTCTTACTTTTTTTTATTTGCATTCACACATGTGTGATTTGATTGTGTACGTGATTCGTCATCATCTGTCTTATTCGAATAAGAGTAATACACACAATTAACTGCGAAGAGTGAATATATACGCGAAAAGAAATCAATTGTCACAATATTGAAATCCGTGGCCAACGACACCGCCACGGTGTCGTCATGAAATAAGAAAAAAAATACAACACCATCGTTCGAAGTATGTACGAACGAAAGACACAAGCACAAAGAATTCTCATTTTTTTTCTTCAACTTCACTTGAAACAACAAATCCAATTATAGGCCAACGCATGAATTGTTCAATCACACCACACGGAAATATGCAAAGAAAAATATATAAAATACACAATGTAATTTGACGTCTGATTACTTACTTCCTATATTTCACGAACGAAGAAGAAAAAAATGTGTATACGCGTCTAAGCTGCGAGAATCTGCGTTTTGTGGTCTCTTTTAATCGTCTTAGTTGGTGTATTTTCCAATATTCAATGACATTTCATCGTGGATTTATCTTGTTACACTTCATTCACAATTTAAACACAATAGACGATTGCAAATTTTTGTCACTTATTCAATAAACTCACTTGTGTAGTGTCTCTTTTATCGCTTCTTCTTTTTCTTTTTAAACACAAAACATTCACAGTTCGCAATAATTTTACTCGCTTAGTATTAAATATAAAATATGTTTATTTGACGTTGTTGTATTCCATTGAGTTGATCGAAATTCACAGCTTTATTATATTATTATCATGTTCACATTCAATGTGTGCACCAATGAAATGCACTAAATGGGTTTGTCTTGTTTATCCTGTGTTTGTCTCCTTATTTTTCAGTTATTGAAACCAATTAAGGTTTCAAATGCACTTGTACACGCATAAAAGCGACAACAAAACACACCTCACGAATAAAAAAATGTTCCTTTCTGGTCCTATCACCAATTCTGCCACTTCTTCTTCTTCTTCCTTTTTCCGCTTTCTATGTATACATTGGATCCGAATTTTATTTCTTTTTTCCTTTTTCCCGATACGTGCGTACCCAGATTTATTTTGTATGCATATTCATATACTACACTGTTTTCATAGATTTTACACACCTTCACTCTTTTGAAGCACAGAAAATTTTCTTGTTCATTCACTATAACACTTTTAATTTATATATTTGCCAAGTCAATATAGTTCATGCATTGTGATTTGGTTTTAATAAACTATTTTCTTGTTCGTATGTTGTTCACCTTTTTGTTTTTGCTTCAAAAAAAAAAAAATCTCATCAATGAAAACACGAAAATATCACAAAATTCGTACACAAATCCGTAAACATTTTCGTCGAGAGAGAGATGATGTTTGCAACGCAATTTGTTCTCGATAGATTCGACTGTTCAAGTGTAACACACATTTGTTGGGAGAGAGAGAAGAACAGAAATTATTCGTACATATACTACGCTACTGCATTTCTTACTATACGTGAACGCACACATACGCACACGCACACACACGTACACAGAGTATTTTGGTGTTTCGATGTTCGAAAGCCCGCCATCTTTATTCACATTCAGAATATGTGTGTCCGTATGTGTGCACACAGGTGCATGTGTTAGTGCATGTGCTATTACATTTATGGAGTAGTGTTGCTGTTATTTCAATCGCGTCATACTTTTTTTTCCACTGCTCGAAAGCCTATTTGATTCGGAAGGGCCTATGGCAAATATTTAAATGTGTTATATGACATCATACAAACAAAATTAGTCAACTGGAACCCTCTGTTCGTAAAAAACAAATTTCAATTGCATTTTTTATTGAAGATAACGATCAAAATTGTTTGTTCAAAGCCACACACACACACAGCGTGCAATATGTATTATGAAATCGCTTACAATGTTAATTTAAAACGAAGGGAAAAAAGCTGTTAATATTATGTTTTTGTTGCGTTCAGCAAATAGGCACAATGTACCGTGATTATTCATCTTTCTTCGCGGCCGATGTATTTGATGTTTGCTTTTGTGCGCACGTTTTGACCACATTTCGACAATGCCATTGAATTCCGTATGCAACAAATCGAAGTGGCCCCAAAATAATTGATTGCAATACAGTAAACAAAAGTCCACCCCATGGAGACATTCCAGAGCAAACAATTGTTAACAACCAGCTCTCAAATCCACTTATTGATATGAAATTGCCAATCTGAAATAAAAACCAAGTCATTTTTTACTTCATCCATGAACCATGTTCCATGCTTTTTTTTACCAATGAATCGTTTAAAATGACTGTTGCCATATCTTCAGGTTTCGCTAATCCAGCTCCACCTGATATAGTTTTCGTTTCTTCTGGTTTGGTTAGATTTTCGTTCTCGAACCCAGGTGTATCTAAAAAGTTGTTTTCGATTTAAATATATTTCGTCTTTTAATCAAAATTACAATCTTACCAGTATCAGCTGGCAGAGCCAGTGTGATGGATATTTTCGTATTTGATACTTCCATGGCAATTGTCTCCGCCAATCCACGTAATGCAAATTTGGCTACTGCGTATGGTCCCAAACCGTACACCTGAGAGAGAATAAGAAATGAAAAATGGAAATTATTCAACATATAATGGAACATAATGGAAAAAAATCAAAAGAACGAATAGTAATTTTGTACTTACGCCCATCAAAGAGGCTTGAGATCCTGTAATTGTGATAATACCATCGCCTTTTTCCTTCATCTTGGTGAGAATGTATCGGGTCGGATAGTACACGGAAAAGTAGTTGATGTTCATCAAGTAAACAGCATCGTCGGGTGATAATTCATCGACTCGGCCGCAAATGGCACCGCCAGCACAATTAACCAAAAAGTAAATCGGCGCAATTTCCTCTTCCAATGCGCTCAATGCATTTTTGACATTCTCGTAATTGCTTGACAGATCGACCGAGCGACACTGAATCATCTGCTTATCGTTAACTTTATGCACTTGAATCTTTTTCAAAGCGGATTCCAACTTTTCAACATTTCTTGCCACAATTGTTACGTGAGCGCCCAATTGGGCGCACTTTACTGCAATCCAGAATCCAATACCTGACGAACCACCGGTAACAACGACATGTCGATTTTGGATTGGACGCTGTGGTTTTTTACTCACCCACAGATAAATTCCGATGTGAGCTATTGCCAATAAGGCCACAATCAATGCTATTTCAATTGGAAAATCCATTCGGTTATCTGTATGTTCTGTATCGATATGAATAATTTCGGCGAAAAAATAATGCGGAAAGAATACAAGCCTTTGTTTAGTGCTACCAAGCAGTATTGACAGTTGTGTTTTTAATCTGACATTTCATGTTTATCGCTCAACGCCGCTATTTTCAAACAATATTTCTGAGGTTAGGTTTTTTTCGCCCTGTTTCAAATACACAAAAACCAAGTTTAAAAAATTTGCTATTCAGTTCGCTTTTAGGTCCAATTGGATTTCACTGCACAAGAGCAAAATTATTTTTGGCAAAATAGAAAAAAATGTTGCATTCATATTGATGAAATGAAAATATTTATTTATTTCTTAGAAATTATTAGCACAGAAAATTAGAATATGTACAAAAAGTTTATTTCATTCGTCGTGTAGCTGTTCGCATTGGGCGACCTGTTTTTGTTGTACTCGAACCAGGACCGATGCTAAACATGTTGGTGGTAGGTTGTTGTGGTGCTGCATTAAATTGAAAAGCATTTTGAGCTGGTGCCGCACTGGGTGAATTAAATGAGAATGGAGCCACTGATTCGGCCGGTGCTGTTGATGGTCCTCCGAAATTGAATGGTTTTGCTGCTTCGGGTTGGTTTGTTGCGCTAAACGCAAATGATGAACCTACATAAATGATGGGATCGATTTCATTAACGTTTAGTCAAATAAATGAAATGATTCGAGTCGGTAAACATATAGCAAATTTTTGATGTTTCCTTTTTCTGTTCGAATCGCAAAAAAAAAATGAATAATGAAACATTACCAATTCCATTTGTGGCACCGCCAAACTGTGGTGTAGCCGAATTTGATCCAAAAGCTGGTACACTTGGTGTGGTCGTATTTCCAAATTGGAAAGCACCTGTTTCTGTAAATGAATATACAATTAATTTCAATAATAAAAACTCACATTCATGGCATTTTCAAATTGAGATTGTCTTTCAAATGATCAACTTACGAGGTTTGGCGACAGGCGTGGTACTGCCAAATGCGGGCGGTGCGGTTAATGAATTTTCAACTGTTTTACTACCAAAGATTCCGCTTGGTTGACTCGGTGTGTTCGATTGCATTAAATTCATTGAATTACCTTGGCCGAACACAAATGGTGCATTTGCATTGGTGTTCGTATTTGTGGTGCCAAATATGCCAGTGGATGCTGTTGTCGTCGCCGGAGTTTGTTGGCCACCAAATGCGAAAACACCAGAAGGCGTTGCTGCTGCTGCTGCGGTAGTGGAACCAAATGCACTATTCGATTGATTCAAATTGGCTGATGTCGTTTGGGTAGAAAATAAACTATTCGATTGATTCAAATTGGCTGATGTCGTTTGGGTTGAAAATAAATTATTGTTGCTTGTGCCAAATGCTGGTGGTGGTTGAATTTGTGCATTTGTTGACTGTGTATTTCCAAATAAGTTATTATTCGAACCGAATGCTGGCGCTGATGGTGTTTTACCAAATGTGTTCGATTGATTTTGGCTACCGAAAACTGGAGTATTCGTAGTTTGATTGGCCGCACCAAAAACATTCTCTGTTTTGGGTTGTGTTGCTGTGAGATTGCTTGTTCCAAATACCGATGTATTTTGAGCATTACCAAATAAATTTGTTGTTGTTGCCGTTGTTGTGATGGTGCTACCAAATGCAGGCGTGACCGTGGCCGTGGTTTCACCGAATTTCGGACCGGCAGTCGATTTGTTCGCTCCAAAAGTGAATGCACCACTTTGGGTGGTTGCCGTTATTGATGATGTTGGATTTGCCATTCCGAACAATGGAGTACTAACGGATGGCGATCCAAACGAAGGAGTTACCACACTTGTTGTGGTCGTATTTCCGAATTGGAAAGCCCCTGTTTCTGTAAATGAATACAAGATTAATTTCAATGATTAAAAAAACTCAAACTCATGACATGTTTCAATTGATCAACTTACGAGGTTTGGCGGCACTGGCTGCACTGACTGCACCACCAAATGAAAATGGTGGAGATGATGTCTGATTTTGTGCCGGTATAGCGTTTGTCGAAGTAGTCACAGTGTGTGTAGAACCAAATACGGGTGGCGCTGATGTACTGGCCGTTGTTGCGCTAAAAGCAAATGGCGCAATAGAGGCACTTGTGATTGATGTATTCAAATCTAAAAATGAATAAAAAAAATTCGTTCTTTTTGTAATGAAGTTTCTAGTTTTAAATGCTGATTTGATGGACTTACCCGGTTTGCTGGTATTTGAGGTACTTCCGAATGCAAATGGCATCGATGGTGTCTGGTTTAATGTCGAGTTTGTATTGTTGGTGGATGTGTTGTTATTCGGTGTAAATGTGAGTACTGATGGTTTTGATGCCGAACTATCAAGGTTGAATGTCGCCGGTGTAGACGATGTCGTATTTCCAAATTGGAAAGCACCTGTTTCTGTAAACGAATACACGATTAATTTCAATGATAAAAAAAAACTCAAACTCATGACATTTTCAGATTGAGAGATTGTGTTTCAATTGATCAACTTACGAGGTTTGACAGCTGTTACAATGCTTGATTGCGTTGAAGCTGGGGTACTTTCAGTTTTGGCTGGCAACGTATTCGATCCAAATGTCGGTGGAGTGAACGAAGGCAACGTAGTGTTTGTGGTCGATTTGGTTAATCCAAATGAGAATGACGGTGGTGCTGGCTTATTCTCCTCTGTTTTGGCAATTGATAGTGACTCTGTTGCAGTTGGTTTGGCAACCAAAGGTGATGTGAATGCCGTTTGTGTAGCAGAAAAAGAGAAACCCCCAAGCCGCGGAGCCGAATCACTAGCTGACGTAGTTGCGATTGATGTTGCAGCCGTTGTTGGCGGCAAATTGAAAGTTACAGTTGGCTTAATTGCATTTTCCGTACTGACCTTAGGACTATTTTGTATTGTGGTTGTTATAGCTGTGCTTGGAGGTGCAGTTGTAGATGCGGCTGTTGAAAGACTAATCAACGGAGTCGCACTTGATTCAATGGGTTTTGTAACCACCGTTGGAATCTTGGCCTCGAATTTTTGAGGTTCACTTATGCTTGGTTTCGTGACATCCGACGGTACATTCAACAGAGATGTTGTTGTTGCTGTACTGAATGTGACTGAAGTAGTTGTATTCAAATTGGCCGAGGTAGATGAGCTGATCGCTGATTTCGGTTCCTCCTTTTGATTGGATTTTTCAGAATCAATCGACGGTTTTCCAACACTATCCACCTCATCTTTTGATTCATCGCCACGCAAAAAGCTTAACATCATTGCAAGCTTTGATTTTTGATCGCGATTTTTATTGACACTAAAAATGGACGATGCTTTGGCTTTGGGTTTAACAAATGTGATTGAATTCTCGTCGTCATCATCAATCGGTTTTTTCTTTTCGCCTGTCGTTGATGTAGCACTGTACACCTTATTGAACAATGTGAGTTTGTTTGTTTTTGTCGTCGACGATTTTGGATCATAGCCATCGGACATCGATTTTGTAACGGGTTTTATTGGTTCGGATGGATGATGTGGCAAATCACTTTTACTCGTTCCAACAACACCACTTGGTTCTGATTTACTTTTACCAATCGCACAGCTATTCGTCAGCACACTTTCATTCGCATCGTCTCTGTCATAGTTGAATTCTGGACGACGAATTTTGGACGCTGTTACATCCGCATTGAGTGCGCTTCGTTTTGGTGTACTCATCAAAATGCTTGAACTCAATGAGCTTAAGATGTCGTTGTTTTTGTATCGCTTTTGCTGCATTTCAGCCGCCGAACTGGAAAATGACGGTGATGTACGATCTCTAGCTCGCTTCGATGTAATAGCCACTTGTGCATTATTCGATTCATAGTCATTGTCTGCGCGCTGCTTTTTATTGGTATCGCCATCAATTTCCTGAAATATATATTTAAATAAAATCATTTTATCAAATGTTCCATGCCACATGCCATTGAATTAATAAGCTGTTACTCACATCACAATGTATACGTTTTCGTGATATTTCCTTTAATGCTTCTAACGAACTGCGAATTGGTGCACTGTCGTAGTCGTTGTTTGTCGGGACGATCGGTTCATTTTGTGTTGAATTATGTGCTGATGGTGAAACTGTCTTAATTGGTTTTCGAGCTTCAATCGGACCCAATTTTCCAATTTGATACGAATCGCCATAATTTTTTCCCGTACGAAATATGGTCGATCGTGCCGATGCATTCGATGCACTCACAAGATTAATTGGCGGTGCGATATTGATTTTGGACACTGTTGGTACGTTTGCTTGTTTTTTATTCAAGTTTATTTCACTTTTGTCCAAATTAACGATTGGAAAATCGCCTGGTCGACGATAGACTTTATTTGTGATATTTCGACCTTTTGCAACACTTTCATCATGATACTTAACAACACGCGATGCAAAACCATTGCTCTGTGTGTCTAAATAAACTTGTGGATCAAGTTTAGTCAGAGTTGACGAATTGATTGAAGTGGAATTTTTTCTGGTTTGCGGCGTCCCACTTGGACTATTTGGATTGCTATGGAAACCAAATCGGTTGGCCAATGTGTATCGTAATCTAAGATAAAAGAAATGAACACGTTGAATCATTTTGATTGAAAACTAAATGACTAGAACAGAGAAAGCTTACTACAATTAGAAAATCAATCAGTTCACACATCAATGTTTACCTTTTCAATGGGGTTTTTGCTGACTTTTCGATTTTAGTCGATTCAGCGATTGGTATGTCATTTGCACTGGTATTCGATTGATCGAAATTCATTGTTATTGATTAAAAGTACGTTTGCGTTTGAAAATTTAGTTTTATTTTTTACTAAAATAACACTTCTGAAATCTCAATCTTTCTGTTTATGCAGTGCAATTTATTGCAATTTCAAATGACATAACCTCACACAATAATTTAAAAAAAAATCAAATCACATTTACTAATGTTGATTTGTTATCACAGTTTATATTTTATACAGCATCGGTTCAATTGTATTGGAATTTTTTTCAACAATTTTGTCGTACACTTTATTTTGTTAAATTGGTACGGAAAAGACACTTTTTAACAAATAATATTACAATTGTGTAAACGTAGTGAGTATTCTTGATATTTCCGACTCGTTCATACGTCTTTCCCTCTTAAATTTGACACAGCAACAAGCGAATAGAACACATTTCCAAATGCCAGTTACAAACGGTGATGAAATACAATGCTAATGCAAACGTAGTCGAAACGTCACACAACGCGTATTATAACGCAAGCGTTGACAATACTACTCAACCCAAGCAGCACAATTTGTATTTGGGACAAGATACGTTGCTGTCCGGAAATGTTTATTTTTGATTTTCAAAAAATGTTGCAACATATGCGAGTAATTTTTCATATTGGAACTTTATAATACCTTTAAATTGAATCAATTGATAAGAGTTTAAAATTTTATTTACAATAATACTCTTGAAAAATGCGCTCTGTATTCATAACTATCGGATATCCTTTGTATTGAACAAGTGCCGAATATAAAAAACACCCTATGCACACATCTATGTGCACATAAATTACAAATTTTTCCTCTAGACTAATATTTACAGATTGGATAATGTATATATGTGCATTAGCAACCCTCGCTGAATGCAAATGAATTCACCGCTTCCCTTAGTTACCAATACAACGGTTTTGTTGTTTTACGCTTTCGGCGAGTACACGTTTGTGTGTGTGTGTGTGTGTGTGTGTGTGCGTGCGCGCACGACAGCAATTTGAAATTTAAATGTATGAGTGCACACGTACGCGCATTAATGTGAGTGTATGTGTCGCTTCCTATTGAAACATTTTCATTTCTTCCTTATAAACAGAGAAAGAACATTGAAAGCGGAAAATGTATTAGAGTACATAGTGAATCAGTGAATCAACGTAATTCATCTATTCATCTTCCTGAGTTTGCGAATTTTTTTCTTATTAGAAAAACTTTCATTTAATCTTTCTACATAAAAATCAATTGATATTGTGCAATTATTTGATAATTTTTCCTATGTTCACCTTAATTTTATTTATTTCGGATATTTCAACCATTTTGATTCGCGTTTAATTGTATTTCGGTTTGGCAATAAAAGAAAGACGTCCAAGGGCGGCTCAAAAACAGTTTTATTGCACTTGTATTTTTGTTTCTTTATTTTGTTTGATTCATCGTATATGATGAATTTCTCTGCATTTGGTGGTCCATTTTCTGGCATTCATCAATTTGCCGCAAAATTTGGTCATGATACACAAAATGGACCATTTTCATCAGCTTCATCAGGCATGAATTCTCAGGATGTGCATGGCAACCGCTATCACACAACTACAAATCATTTCAATCAAAATTCTACCTCAGGTTAGTTCATTGCATCCTACTAATAATATATTAAAAAAAATAAAAAAATAAAATGCCATGTTCATGAATGAAATGAACGAACATTTCTAAAGAAAAATACAGTGAAAATGAAGAAAATAAATGTGGTGTCGCTTGAAATTACACGCGTCACTGGCGCACAATCATCACTACAATGGTCATGGCGGTTTATCGATTTTTGTTGTTGTTGCTGTCGCCTGTACATACAATAGTAAATGCAACTTCACACTTTGTGTTTGGAAATTGGTTATGTTTACGCGAAAGTCTTTTTTTGTCTTCTTCAAGGATTTTTTTTGATAATTTGTTTATGTAATTTATTAAACGATAATTGTTAGGATCAGCAATGCAATATGGACAAAATCTTTCGAATGCTTACAATCAACCACAAAATGAACACAACAACATGTTTAGCAACGACCACAAGGATAATATTTTGAAAACAAAAATCGAACGGGATCGTGAAGATGGTAATTACCATTGATATTATATAGAAAAAACCAATCGAGTACCATTGAAAAATTATTCAATTAAAAAAAATTTCAGCCATAAATCAACAAATCTTACAAAATGTGAATCAATCGTGGCAAACACTTGCGAATCCATCGAATACCGTTGATTATTCATCGCATTTGTTGTCGGCAACATTGCCTATATCTCTACAACATTTTCTCAAATATTCGGAATCGATAAAAAAGGAGTCGTCCGCTTTAAATAACAGTGTCATCGGCAATGGATCGTCTGGAAATGGCCTAAACAGCAATTTAACAGGCATCAATAACTCGATGAGCTCGGCCAATTTGAATTTAAGTGGTATGGATATAAACGGTTTGAATGTTGGTAATGGTTTCAATTTGAAATCTGATTTCTTAGGAGGATTAAAAAATGGAATGAATCTGGCTCTAAATCAAGTGAATGCAATGCATTCACACCATCACAATCACGGTTTGAATACAACAAATAGCATTACGAATTCAACAAATACATCGTCAACGGCAAATAACAGCATAATAAATCATGCTGCTGAAGTTATTGAAAGTGTTGCAACAACAACAACAACAGCCGCCGTTAGCAATGGCAAAAAGAAGAAGAAGAAAGCACCGAAGGAAAAGAAACCACGACCAAAACCAGGCGAAATTCGAGAGACAAAAGCACTTGATGGTTCCACATTGTATTGCTGTCCAGAATGTCAAATGGCGTATCCAGATCGAAGTCTAATCGAACAACATGTCATTTCGCACGCTGTTGAACGGTAACTTTTTTTTTGAAAATATTTTTAAAAAATTAATTTTTAAACACCATTTTATTGTTATCAGACGTTTCGTGTGCGATATTTGCAACGCAGCTTTGAAACGTAAAGATCATCTTACAAGGCACAAACTTTCACACATTCCCGATCGACCTGTTCGTATTCAATTCATCAAAATTGTTTATCGTTAGTTTATAATTAATTTTGAAATGTATTTTTTCTTTTCCTCTGCATCTTTTCCGATGGATTGTATTTTTTTATGGGACCAACAGCATGTCTGCAATGTAAGCATGAATGGATTTTGAAAGAATTTTTTTGTGTTCAACTGATGCTAAAAACATTTGTTTTTTTTCAATAGATTTGCATGAAATCCTTCAAACGCAAGGAACAGCTCACTCTGCACATTGTCATTCATTCCGGTGAGAAGAAACACGTGTGTCAAGAGTGTGGAAAGGGTAAATTAAATATTCTCTGAAACTCAGAAGAATTGATGATTTAATGAAATTATACTTACAGGCTTCTATCGGAAGGACCACCTCAGGAAGCACACTCGCTCACGTAAATGACATTTTTTTTTATTAACTCTTGCTATTTTTAATATCTCTATGATTGTTTTCAACCAAATTCTTTTTTTCCGCCTTTCAGATATTGCTAGACGAGTCAAATCGGAGGTATCGGCTCAGTCGCAATCAACAAATGCGACTTCAAGTGGTGTATCGACACCATCAGCAAATGGTAGGCAGGCCCAAAATTCGTCTTCCTGATCTTCCTACAAAGACTTCTGGTAAAATCCATAGCGGCCATCGAATGATTTTGTGCTTTCAGATCCCATCGACCCACCTTTATTTATTTATTTTTGTAAATTATCTACTTATAGTCTGTTTTCTTATTGATTCTGTGATTTTGCTTATTTTATTTTTACTTATTTTATTTTAAAATTCAGTTGAACTGATGAAAAGCAATTTATCATTTAAAAATGAACAATAAATTTATCGAATTTTATTATATTTAAACAGTTTTGTTCTAGTCATGTATATTTGATTTTTATTTTTTATGCGGTAGTTTGATACCATTTATTTAATGATGGGTTTTGTGGCCAGAAAATGTTAGCCAGAAGTCTTTAAAATATGAGTTTGTATTCGAAGTTTTTTTCTAAGTAACTCATGGAACGATTCGTTTGAATCCCAACATAAAAATCTTTGACCTAATGATTCCCTTTTGTATGATTTATGTGACTATTTCTAAATGTAGCTTTTTCTTCGGTTTTGTATTTCGTTTTTATACAAATCGTGACAACATAGACATACCAAATAGGCTTTAGAAAACTTTTTATGTGTGACTGCATATAGGTTGTAAAATTTAATGAATAATACGTATTTCGTTCGGCAATAATAACTTGACGTAGATTTTTTGATGAAATTCTCATGTCACAAAACGATGACATTTTTTTTTGATGAAATAATATGAACCCTAGTTTGTTTAAGGACTTTGAAATAAAAAAAAGAAAAGATAAACTTCCAATATTCTTTGAAACTAAAAAAAAATGGAAGTAAAGTTAAATACAAAACATCCATAGCTTACTTAAATTCATAGAAGCGTCATTGAACGCCTTATCCACAATATAAAAGCAACAAATTTTGAAGTGAAAAGAATACCAAACAATAATGAATATGTTTTGTAATTAGAGGGGTAACATATATTTTTATAAATGAAATGATAAAGTAAATCTATACTTTTTTACACAAAAAAAAATGAGAAACAAACAGAATGATGCAAAACAAAAACAAAATAGAATCAGACAAAATACTACTGTAGGTATTCAATGAAAATGCAATTACATTTTAAGCCTATCTAATCTACAATAATTTAAAACTAAATAGTGAAAAGTGGCGATTACAATGATTACAAAAGAGAAATGATTCATCAGATCGAATTGAATTTATATCGCGATTGTTCGAGTTTAAGTAAAGTCATCTTCCGCCTAGACAAAACAAACTACATCTTCTCAAGCAAAAGACTCCTTTTCAGTATACAATTAGACGTAATGAATAAGGTTAAGTAGACATTTAGATTGCATATTATTATAAATTTTGACACGCTGCAATAAATTAAAAGACAAACTCAATCGATGCATTTATAAATGATTATCATCGATTGAACAAAATTATTCGTAGCAGTTTTAGTATTTATATACAATTATTATTCACATGCTATGTATATTTGTGTTCGCTTTAGCGCAAATATTAATGCCAATCTGTTGCCATTGATTTACATTCAATAAGACGGACGGATTGAAAGAATTTTCAATTTTTTTTAGCGCTTATCTAAGATAGGACAAGTAAACCAATCCATTATTCCAATTTCAACAGACTTTGTAGACTTTTGCCGAGATAACATGAACTTTTTTTACAAAAAGAATCCATTCGATTCAATATACAATATTTTATAGAGTTGCCGAATTATAAACGAAAAACACTATTTATTATTACAACACAAAGACACACACAACACACACAAACAAACCATAAGAATGAAGTAAAGTACAAACGAGCATAAATGCTTCAATGATGAATTAATACAACTGATATCGATCGCTAACGAAAAGAGAAACTATTTTTAATTACAAAATTAAAACAGAAAAAAATAGCAACTAGAATAAGAATCTGAATTGTATACAGTGTTTTGTGAACACCAATCGGTTTGATTTCTGGCAAATTGAAATTACTAAAAGATCTATCTAATAAAAAAAAGATGAATGCAATATAATGAGTTTCCTTTCACAATTTTTTCAGTAGACATTTTCTTGACTCATCAATGGACTTCACGAATCAAAGAATGGCCCGTCAAATTATGAAACGTAAAAGTATTGTTAATAAAACGTAATTGTCATATTTTGTCATTTCTTTATTGAAAATGTAAGAAAGATATATGCATCTGTCTTAAAGATATTTAGAAAAATTGTCAATCTCTGCGAAACATTTGTTAAACTATCGTGAGATTGCACGAAAAAGTGCTCCTTATCACAAACTTAAGCTTATAGTCTATATATGGAATTGGAATATGTTCAACTTCTTGGTATTTCTGGTTCATCATTTGCAAATGCTTCAAGTGTTGTGATTTTTCCGGCAATTATAGTGACGTCATCGAGTCGATCACGAATGAAGAAAAAGAATGGTCGATTAATAACTATAGATCGTTGATTCGCTGGTTCTCTTGATCGTAGTGCATTTACTGCAGTCAACGAGTTTTCTGAACTGGACGTTTCGTCAACACTCAAAATAACATGCTGTTGAAGTTCACCAATGCGTAGCTTTTGTGATTTCGATATGCCACTAAAATTAATGAAAAAATAAATTAATTTCGAATGTGACATGATCGAACATTTGAATATACATACCTAAAATTTGCTTTTGATGTGAACATGGATGCCAAACCTTCTTTGGCCAGAACTTTTTCTGCGCCGCCAGTTGTTTGTACTTCGAATTTTGGCAAACCGACATTAATCAATTCCTCTTTCAAACCACTTGAAATTTCGTTTAAACCATTTGCATTGAATTCACTTATGAATTTCTCCAATCCACCTGGACCTTCTTGAGGCATAACCACCAGCATTGAATAGCGAATGTTCTGAAATTGAAACGAAATTTAATTGATACAAAATCAATTCGAACATTATTTCAAATGTGATTTTACATCATATGGAAGTTCAATGGCTTCACAATTATATTTGGAAATTTTGCCGGTTCGGAAGTAACCGCGACCTTTCATCATCTTGATTTGAATTTTTTCACCATCTACTGCATAGAATATATTCTCAATTTCAGCGTCACGTAAATGCTGCAAAAAAATGTGTTTTCGTGTTAAAAAAAAATTGTGTTAAATTTTCAGTATTTTAAGAGACTTTCAATAAAATGGAGAATTTCAAATAACCTGGAATGGAATGGCCCAGCTACCATGATAATATAAACCATTGAACAATAACATTTTCGGTTCGAATTGATATGCATCGCCTTCTTTATAGTCTTCTTTTTCTCCTACAATTGAATTTCCGCTTATGATTGAAGCGCCTTCGCCATATTTTCCTGCAAACTTTGAATGAAACGAATTCGTTAAAATTACTGTTTCGAAAATTTGAAAGAAAATTCAAAATCACTCACAGCTTTGCCCGAGCGACTTTCTTCAGCCTGCATTATTTCCATTTCTTCATATTGTTTAGTTGGCAACGATGATTTTTCTGTTCCAATAGTTTCATGATGTTCTTTCAACGATTCAGACGCTTTTGATTCTCCCAAATTTTTACTTTGTTGCTTTTTAGCCTGTTCCACTTTTTCCGGTCGATTTTTTTCTTGTTGCTCTTTTTCAAATTTTGCCTTCTCTTGTTGTAGTTTATTTCTTATAGCTGGTGCCTCAACATATTGACGATCTTCAACAACTTCATCGAATTTCGAAGCATCTTTTTGATTATCGATCCTTGTCTCGTCAACCGGACTCTCCATCTTATACGAATCAAATTGAAGAATATCCTTGCTATTTGTCGGTTTGCCTTCTGGTTTGACTTGTACAATTGTTGACTTAACCTCTTCGACTGATTTTGCAATTGGCGGAGTTGGTTGTTCATCCATTTGTTGTTCATCGATTGGCTCCACATCACGTACAGTTACATAGAATTCCTTTGTTATTGTTTCTTTGAATGATTCATCAGCCGTATTATTTTTGTAGATATAGAACCAAGTACGAAACTGTGGAGCAACATCAGGATCTAATCCTTGAAGATGCGATAAAACTGATCGATAAGCACTTCGAACCAGTGCACGGTCATTCGGATGCTTTAGCATTGTTCTGATATCGTAGCTTGTGTCATCGTGTGCACCTTCTTCCAGAATGGTCAATATGGTGGCATAACCGAATGGTGAAAAAACGCTGTTTTTATGATTTTCGATGCCACCTTTCAGCAATTTTGAAGTGATGATATTCGTAGCCTGACCAACGATCTCTTGATTATTAATATCGCGAGAATCACGTGGCGGTGAACCATTGCAAGTACACGACAATAGTACAATGAATGTACCTACATTGAATTATATAAACATATTTGAAAATTACTCTTTTTAAGAGAATGAAGAAGTATTATATATAGAAATGTTTGAATCGTTGATGAAAAACATAGAAAGTTTACCGAAGAGTATAGTTTTTGGTAATTTTTACTTATTTTTAATTCACGGCAGCAGAAATATACACTCTTTTTCAACTCACTGGCAATGCTTTTAAAGTATGGCTTATCGTATATTAAAGCAGCGAATATTGCGGTCACTGAGAGATGATTTGACTATTTTCAGAACGAACTTCACATTCTTTTTTTTGCATTTGATTTGAAATTTACATAATTTCGAGTTTGATAGGGTTTACGCTATTCGTTGTATTTTACTATGACATTGGCTATTAATTGTTCACCGAACCTTTTCTACACAACGCGATGTCTTCATTTTTGTGTATTCGTTCTTTCCATGTTTGGAGTCGCGCATTAAAATATTCATTTATATAACGGCATTCGATTTTCGATATCGAATCAGAATGAAAGAAGAATGAAAAAGAAAAGCAAAACTGTTATTCTTGTTTACATTAATGCTACAGAATGACACCGGTTCTGAAACTGGTCGTACGTGTATATTTTTAAAATATGCTAATATTGCCTTTTCATCATCAGCAATCTTATCAGTTTCAATACAAATTGATTTTTATTTTCAAGACAAAAACTATACTCTTTCATACAATGTATACGGTTAAAATATTTGCAAAAAAAATTCAGTATTTGAAATATTTTGAGTTCATCTAAAAACGAGAGAGATTATAAACGATTGACCCAAATCTATGGTTTTAAATCTGATGAAAAGTAACGAAATCACTAGAAAAGATATTGTATATGCAAATCGATCGTTTGAAATAAAATCAAATTTTAAATTAAATAATTTTCACATTTTTGCAGTTTAAAATCAATTATACTCACTTAGGACAATTGAATCAAAACTCATGCTGCTGAATGGTCCGTTATTTGAGATAAATAAATACGATATATGTTCACTAAATTCAAAATTAACAAAATTGATTATGAACTCTATTTCACAGCATTCCACAATGGAATGATCTCTCTTTGCTGCATGCACAGTCTCTTATAAGTTTATCGTTGAGAATTTCTCACAAATACATGCGAGTTTAAAACTAGTTTAGAATTTTCCACTGTAACGCATCGATATCAACAAGCTGATGCCAACCGGCCAGTTCTGTAATTGATGATTTTGTTTTACCTCTTCGCTTTTTTATCGAAATTACTTTAGTCTATTGGAACATGTACATGAAACCTATAACGTTATAAGTAGAATAATAAAAGATCTATTTACAAGGTAATCCCATTTACTTAGACATTTTATTCGCGCATAAAACCGAATTAAATTCACATTCATTTGTACGAGTATCACTTCTGATCATATGGACTAAATAAAAGTAAATCAATAAATTCTTACTACAAAATGCAATTGATAACAAAAATTGAATGAGTTAAGACTAAATGAATGCGAGTAGCTTGATTTGTGTACATGTTCAAGACTAAAAGCTATTAAGTCCTATATTTTAGAGAATTGTCTAGAGACAAAAAACAAAATGATTCAAGTTCATTTTCTTATGTAGAAAAACAATTATTGGCCAAAATGAATAGCTTATGAAGATCATGCAGATAGTACAGAAACACAAAACAGAAGAGTTTATTGGTACTCGATTTCTTTTATTTTTCATAAACAATTGGACGCAATACGCAAGTGAGGTGATCCACAATTTCAAGTTGAATTGGTACATAATTACGTTCTAATTCACACAAAACTTTCCTAAAAGTTATTTTCTCGGTCACTTGATTAAAAATTACTATAAAGAATAGCGAGTTTATTCGAAACCTGTCCAAACGATTTATGTTTTGCGTTCACTAATTGATTTCATTTTCAAAAAATTTCGCCATTTTGCCATGCAATCCATGTAAATGCTCAAGATTTTCGGCAAAATATACTAAATTTAATTGAGTGAAATAGCCTTGACTCCATGTGTTGTATACGATCATGATATTTTAAGGAAGTTCTTCGAAAGGAGTTGAAGAGAATGTGATATGCGTATTGATATTTGCCAATAGTGTGTTTATGTGTTGTTGATTGGTTAAAGCCCCTTCAATGTCTTGTTCTTTTAGTAACGGGTTCAGCGGAGTGCTGATATTAATTTCAGCTAATGAATTCAAACAAAGGCATCCCAATCAATAGGGCTGTTTTCTAAATAAGGATGTAAACGTCTTGCGTCATTTGTTGTAAATGCAGCTTTGTCAGCAAATGTTTCAACTAGTGTCCCATAGGTTCCCATCTGTGCATTGCCCTGTTGTTGAAAGAAAATTAAAACATTAATTTTAAAGCATATAGAAATCCAAGTTAAAGTAAATGAGTAATATTATGAAAGTATTAACAATAGCTTGCCCAAAACTAATAGGAAAGGGAGATCACCTTTATTCGATCCAATGGAAATGAAGACATGATCTGACTAATTTCCAAAACAATTTTTTGAATATTTTTTTTCAACTCAAATAACGATAAATGAGTTCGGGACAGAACAAAACAATGTCTTTCCATTACTTTAACTCATAAGTTTTTGATTCATCAACTAATGTAATGAAATTATGCTCTTCTCTCCTTCACTTCAATGTTTGAATGAATTTCGAGCGAAAAGCCATTTTGTTTTTAGAGTTTTATATTTTGTATAATAGTTATTATATTTTAAATAATTCTTACGTCGCCGCAGAGTAGAATCGACAAAAATGAAAAAAAAAAAATTTGCTTCATTGTTTCAGTTGTTGTTTAACGGCTTCGTATACTAATGTGGCTTAAGTGTGATGGGCCTGTAGTATTTATACATTACGATTCAAACAAAAAATCAAACAAGAATCTTGTTTAGTGTTTATATCGCAAATTTCAAAACTAATACGTAAATGTATGTAACAAATGTTTTGAAATATTTTTGAATTAAACTACAAAATTATCTATTCATGGAAATTAAAGCTCTTACACATCTGGTAAATTGATATTTGGTTTTTACCTTTAATGAATTTGGAAAAAATCAAATAATTGAAAACTGTAATGACGATGCCATTTTCAGCATTTGGTTTTCACGCGTTTAAATTGTGAAATGATAATATTTTCGATAGAACGGGATCATTGCGCACATTATAAGAAGCGCCGAAATGCATGCTATTTTCTTTTTCTTTTCTTTGGTCAAAGAGAATTCAATTTTTTGAGGACTATTGTACTTTGAAAATGTGTTTATTGTTCTTTGATCGCATAATATGAAAGAATACAAAATAAAGTGAATATACATCAGAATTGAATTTTCTAGCATTAGAGATCCATATCAATTTACCATTACTATGAATATTAATATGAATGGTTGAAGATTTTATCTCTATAGATTTAATAATAATTTGTAGCCAATTAAAATGAGATATACGTATTATTAAATAATTAATAAATATTGATCCGATCATTATATCCAATCAAAACCTGTATTTATACGAAACATTTAACTCAGTCTTGTCGTTCAATCATCATATACATCACGTTGAAGCGGGAGAAAATAGTCAAAGTTGAAATGCAGTCTCAAGTAAAATCGAATTCGTCATCATTTTTGTACAAATCTCTTCGAAAATTGTACGTGTACGCACAAATTATGGGTGGTGCTTCATTTTCCTATTCACCAGAAGACGGTGTGCGAATGACTTTATTCCACTTTATATACTTTTTTGTTTCATCATTATTTTTGGCATTTGGCATTGCATTAACCGCTATAAATTGCACAACGAAATTAACAATCGATGCCAAAGGATACCAAGCAATATTGTTTCAAGTGGGCAGAGGATTTCTAAGCTATGCACCGTTGGCAGCTTGGATTATTGTATTAATTCTACTTTTGAATAGAAATAAAGTCGCCAAATTGATGGAGGAAATTATGGCATTAAATAGAGAGGTAAACCATTGCTTTGAAGTTAAGCCAGTTTAAAGAAAGTTTCCTTTCTTCCAGATGCAAGAAATGGACATAATATTTGAGCACAAAAACTATATGCGTCAATATGAAATTGCATTTTGTGTAATCTGCATTTCGGCTGTGTTGTCCAGCTCCATATTTTACTTCTACATAAATGTCCATGTTGATGGAATATTCATTGAAAAATTTTCCATTTGCATGTCAATATTTTACACTTGTGCATGTCATTTGTTCTTCAGTGCAGTTGTTACAATATTCTACGTTTCGATTCAGATAAAATTTTCGCTACTAAATGAGTTTTTTAGGTAAACTTAAAAGAACGAATGAAAAATTCAATGTTTAATCTCTTCTTTTTTTTCTTTTCGTTTAGATCTATTTTCGTAGCACCAGCACCAAATATTGTTTCACCACAGATTCGTCGATCATCGACCGATTTACATCAAATGCTATCCAAATTAGCAAAAATGCACGATAGATTATGTCAAATATTTTTTAAAATCAATCGTTATTCGGCAATTATAGTATTTTTAAATCAAACATCAAATTGATGTTCGAAATTTAATCGTTAATTCATTTTTCAGCTAATTTTCATGCCGCTGGTTATTATTTTTCTAACAGTATACACGCTGGAAACACTTTTTGTCGGCCTAATCGAGCAAAACTTTCAAATACAAATGCTGGCTGTCTGCTTTATATATTTCACATTTCATATGTATATTGTAGCACTTTTGAAAGTTGACGCGATTGTAAGAACTGGATCAAAGGCTAGGCACACCGGAATACATGTTCACGAGGCACTTGTCAATACAAATGATCTAGATTTGATGACAAAAGTACGTCGATTTGATAAAATAAGAACAAAACAATACAATTGTTTTCATCTTATTTTTCAGTTGGAACTATTTTCTATGCAAATTTTACACTCTAGCCCCAAGTGTGATTTAAGCATAATCGATTTTGACTGGGAACTTGTATTTTCTGTAATTATATTGAATATCTTTATATGTTATCTTTTTAAATTTTAACTTTTTTTTAAACAGATGATTTCAGCCGCTTTTTCGTATTCTGTCATCTTGATTCAATATCAATTTTTCCTATCTGCGGCAAATAAATGAGGAAACTCGAAAGATTATAGCAGATTTCTATTGGTTATTAGTGATTTATTAAATGAATCCAAAAGCATTGTTTTTCTATCTCAATGCTCTTGCATATGGTTAGAATATAGGGAAAAAATCATGCAAAAAGAAATTCAAAACCAGCAAATAATATTTGCAATGATTAATAAGTACGATTTTTTAATTATCATTTTTCTTTGAAGAAGACAACAAATCAAATTGCAAATGAGCTACACCAAAATATATTTTCAAGAAGGTGTCAGGAATGCAATAAATGGCGAAGAGGAAGAAATTGAAAAAAATCATCGAAAATATTTTCTTCTGTTGTCTTAATGGAAATTTGATTATTCGAATTAAACTATAGAATACACAAAATATGGACGCTGCACCAATCATTCAATATAATAAACAAAAATAAAATAAGTTGTATCGTGTTAAATTATTAAATTTACCATTTTTAAGACGATCTAATGGCATACAAACACATGTTCAAACAAATACAAACTTTCCTCAAGTAGCTTTTGGGTGACAATGCTGTTTTTTTTGCGAAGTATATGAGTCAACTTCAAATAAAGTCAAAAATTGAGACTTAGTCATTCTATCTAAGCTATCTGATAACGTATTTTCACCAAAATGGTCACATCTGCGTCATCGCGATTAAGACATTTTTACGCTATCACATACGTCTTTTTCCGTTATCACGATTAAAATAATCGATTTCGATTAAAAACTGTTGTGGAGATTAGAAAAATGGCGAATCATACCTCTCGAAAAAAGATAGGTATTATTAGCAAAAATTTGCGTAATCTTATTAGGCGAATAAAATGTCTGACAACCATATTACACGACTGAAGTTCTGAAAATTCAAGAAAGTCCTGTTAAACAGGCTTAGACTTGCCCCGTGTCCATGTATATTTTGCATAGTTGAGAATCGCTATACAAAACTTTAAAGGAAGTAAAAAACAGCATATTTTTCCATCTCGTATTACATTAGCACAATTCTATATGATCAATTCCAGACTCAAATGTAAAGCGTCATCATCAAAAAGGACAAAACGGAAATTGATTCGTATCATTGAAATACGATAACTTGAATCCGTGCGTGTTTTATCCATCATTTATTTTATATGCATATGAATCATTCTATCTAGTATAAAATCATTTAAACGATACTATACCTGTGTGAATATTACTAGGAATATTAAGAAAATTTGTTTGAAAATTGAAGAATACCGTTTTGAAACTAAGAGACACTATTATCGAATTGCATGATCTAATCTGTAATTTTTTATATTGTTCGTAAATTGGCTTATCTGTCATAATACCAAGCATAATAGTATAAAGTACTTTGTAATATGTATTGCTCATATTAATTTAAGTCACTTACGACTAGACTCCTCAAATTCTTTGATAAATTGTTGTTGTATTATAACAATATTATATTTTGCCAAAATGAAAGAAAAATCTTAGAAACTTGACAAACATTGCATATCAGAATATATCTTTATATAGATATATGTATAGGTGCATATCAATACAGATATTTGCACATGTGCACTATGCCAGTTTTTCAGTTGCGTTAAATAATAATTTAATCAGATTTCGATAACAAGTGAGCCTATTTCACTTTGTTTCTTGAAACATTTATATTTCACTTTCTTTCGCACATATGTTTTTTGTCTCGGAATCTCAAGCACAACTAGTTAGTTTTACTCTCTTTTTTTTAAAAGCAACAATTCATTCAAAGAAAGTCCCATAATTCATATTTTTTTTCTTATTTTGAGAATATTTCAAACAAAATTTTATTGATTTTAAATGATTTGTATAGAATCTGTAATGAAAACCCGATTTGAAAAAAACCCAGTAGTAGTCTATCTAATGATAATTCTTTTGAAGAATGCGATTAAGAAACAGCTGTGACAGCTTAACTTGATTAAACTAATTTTTAAAAAGTAGATATCAATATATATATTGTCAGATTCAGTAGTAAATTATGTCATGGCTATCAAATGATAAGGATTTGATTCGATAAGATAATAATGAAATATGGTTCATCTTCGATCGGTTTCGAATATAAATTTCATTAAATCTAAATCAGTTCGAATATTAAGCCATCAAAATGAAGAAGACTTACAATAATCCGCTGTGTAAGATATATTTAATTTTTCAACATTTATTTTCATTTTGTGTTTGAATGAATTTGATACTGAATATGTACGAGAAATGTGTATTAAATTTGATTTGTGTTTTTTTCATGACTGAATGAATGCTAATATTTGTAGGCACGATCCTTCCCCAACGCGTTGTTATGGTATATATACATTTCTATTATAAAAAAAAAAATAATTAAAAAGAAAAGTTTGAAAATCTTTTTTTTTATTTTCACTAGGGGATCATGGGATTCCTTGCAATTGCAGTCTCCTATACAATTCGACAGTCTCTTTCAGTTACAATTACTGAAATGGTGCCCAAAAAAACGGACGCAAGAGTAATGTTGATTTAATTTGTTTGTTGAGCACATAAACATTTTTTTTGCGATTTTTGTTGCAATTAGATTGGCGAGACATATAGTTGGTCGGAAACGGAGCAGGGATGGGTTTTGTCCTCTTTTTATATTGGCTACGTTATTTCGCATGTTCCTGGCGGTTTGGTTGCTGAAAAGTTTGGAGCCAAATGGACAATTGGTTGTGGAGTATTATTAATGGGTGTTTTGAATGCATTAACCCCAATAGCTGTGAGATATGGTAAGTTCAAAGCTAGGGGACGGAAACCATTAGCAAAAGGAAAATTAGAAAAAAACTAGCAAAAATAGAAAAATTAGCAAAAATTATTTGATCCGCCATTTTGATATTGTGCCATGATTTGGTGACTGAATCAATTTTACAAGTCGACTATTGAAAGAAACAAGTACTTTATGCACGAATTTGTGTTAAAAAAAGAATAATTAAACTAATTTTCACTATTATAAGTGTATAATTATTCAAAACACATAGAAATCATAAATAATCATTTGATTGTCATTTGACAGAACAAAAAACTAGAAAACTAGCAATTTCAAAAAGGAATATTAGCATTATTATTCAAGCAATAAACTAGTAAATTAGCTATAAACTAGAAAAACTAGCATTGGTTTCTCTCCCCTAGGTTCAAAGTAATTTCTTCATTGAATTTTGAAAAATAATTCAAGAATGTCTTTAGGTAATATTATGGTTGTAATAGTTTTGCGAATTATTATGGGCCTAGGAGGTGGAACCACGTATCCTGGTAAATTTCACTTTTTTGATTAGTTAAACTCATGTTTGAGTTCATTTGAATAATTTATTTAACATTAGCTCTCAGTGTTATGTTGGCGGCGTGGGTTCCGGAGAAAGAGAGAGGTTCGATATTGATTACTCTAGTTTTGGGAGAGATTTTCAATTTCCTTTTTTTTTCAAATTTAGGAAAACTTGGATCAATTGTGTTCGGAGGTGGTCAGGTGAGTTCCAGTGTTACCCCAATATGGAGAATACAAAATGTTCATGATATTTTTATTTTATTATGAATGTCGTTTATGCAATAGATTGGAAGTCTTGTATCATTTGCTTTATCTAGCGTGATATTGGGCAAATATCATTGGCAGTACAACTTTTATTGCTGGTCTATTATTTCTGTAATTTGGTTTATTCTATTCGTAAGTGTCTATATTAACTGTGAAGCTTACATTTTTAGCGTTAAAAATCGATTTTTTTCACAGACGATAACTTGCTACAGTGATCCTGCATCGCATCCATTCATCACCCAAAAAGAGCTTAACTATTTAAATGCTGAATTGGGGCAAACAAAGCGAAACGATAAATTACCACCAACTCCATGGTCCTCGATTCTCACAAATATTCCAGTAATGGCGATGGTATTTGCGCAGGTAAATTAAAAACAAAAAAACATTTGCTTGACTTTGTTGTCGGCATACAAATCATGAGTGGCGCCATTGACGTTAAAAAAATATTATCGTAAATGATTTAGATGGGCCATGACTGGATCTTGTATGTTATTTCCTCTGATTTGCCAAAATATTTGAAGGAAGTATTACATGTACCTACGGAAGAAGTTGGATTCTATACATCGTTGCCATTCTTGGGAATGTGGCTATTTTCAATTTTTTCCGGATATGTATCCGATTTTCTAATCGTTCGACGTATTCTTACGATTACACAAGCGCGTAAATTTTTCACATTTTTGGGTGAGCTTTATCAGATAACTTGAATGTTTGACAATTATTATCGTCTCTCGTTTCAATTTATGATTATCGATTAATCGTAATATATACCATTGAAATTGATTGTAATTTATGATTATGTAGTTTGACATAATTTATTTGTTTGATGGATTGCACAATAACACATCATATCATATTTTGTCGATCTTTTTTTGTTGGGATAGGTGCCGTTCCACCGGCTTTTTTCATTATGGCTGCCTCATATGCCGAAAAAAATTTATTCGTTGTTGTAACTATGTTCGTATGTGCCATGAGTTTTTTGGGTAATTTTTATCCAGGCCTTAAAATAAATTCATTGGATTTAAGCCCCAATTATTCCGGATCCCTAATGGTAACTTAAAAATATTTCTTTTTTCTTGTAAATTCATTCTAAATAATGGACAATAATTGTGAATCTATTATACAGGCACTAACAAATGGTATCGGAGGAATTTCTGGTGTAGTGGTACCCCCATTTATTGGCTATATTGTAGATGATGTAAGTATACAAATTTCGTTATTCACTTTGATTGAGCGAATATTTATATGATATGTCCACTCCATACAGAAAACAAACTCAGCAATTTTGCAATGGCGTAAGGTCTTCTGGATTACATTTGGTTTTTCTATTGTCAGAACTGTTGTCTTTTTATTGTGGGGAAGTGGTGTAGTGCAGCAATTTAACAATCCAGTTAAACAATTATCGGTTGAATCGGGCATTTCCAGACAACCCGATACGCCAACAAATCGATATGAAATGAGCAGTGATTTAAGTGATCAAACAATTGATAAAAATGTTGTAGTTTTTAATGAACAAAATAAAACATAATCATTAACTGATGATCCATTGAACTAAAAACTATTTTCCAATAATTGCCAAGATGTGAGACTTTTCGAAAATCGGTAAAAGTAAAAAAATGCTAGAATTTCAAAAGTCTAGGTCACATTAACTCAATGCAGTCGCAAAAAATGTCCAGCACACAAAAAATAAACCTGACAAATCATTTTAGGATTCCTATTAAAATATTAATTTGTAAGGTTTCCTTATAATATGGCAACATTTTATTAGGAAACCTTTAAATAATAAAACATGTTTTGTTTCAACACAGTGAGGTTGGCTTTGACGTTTAAGCGCGCCAATTTATTAGGATTCCTGTTAAAATATTGCGATTTTATAAGGAAACCTAACAAATTCATTTTTTAATAGGAATCCTAAAATAATTTGTGGGGTTTATCTCTTGTGTGAGTCCAGGAGTCCCAAAGTTTTCTAATTGATATCTACCTACTTGGGTAAGCCTATATTTTTTATCTAAACAGTGTTTACATTTACAAAAAATAGAAGATCATAATTTACATAGTGTTGAACAAAGAAATATATTTTTATTTCGTCATTATTGTTTTTTTAAACTATACAATACATTTGTTCTCTTTCTCATACACATTTTATTTGTACCCATGTTTGGAGGATAGCGTTTTTTTGGTATCGACACAAAATACATTTTTTGTATGTGTTATCTTGAAAATGGTATATATATAATATGAACTATATTGATTATGGCAGTTTTTTTATTCTATTTTGTCAATGTCAGTTACAATATAAAAATATCCATACATGTAAGAATTCTTTATTTCGTTTTGAATGGCATTTGTTCAAAGTGTTGTTTTTTTCTTATTTTTTTATAAACATCGTTTGTAAGGAACACAAACATTTAAACTATATTAAATTCCTTATCAATGTCGCCATTTTTTTAACCGGACTGTCTGTTGTAAATATTTGGATAAATGCGTCGTCGTGGCTGTTGTTGTTGTTGTTGGTAGGATTGTTGTGGTTGGTAGGGTTGTTGTTGTTGGTAGGGTTGACGTACACGTTGATTGGCCGGAGCATAGTAACGACTTTGATCGGGACGGGGGTAAGGAACAGTTTTTACCGGTTTAGCTCTTTGCTCTTGTGGTGGCTGATGAGTGATTGGTTCATGTGGTACCGGATTTTTGCTTCGTTCAATTTTACGACAAACCGTACATCTGCTGATCATTTTTGTGTGATCGGCTTTCAGTGTTTGTTGTGCTGGTCGTCTGAATTGTTGACCATCTTCGATGACAGCCAACCAGAATGATGCCAGTTGATCATAATAGTTGCATTTACCATGTCCATGACATTCAATCACTGGTTGTGGTCGGAATTCTTCCAAACAAGAACCAGGCGAGATGAGATTTTGACCAAATCCACCGCTGTTGTCAGTTGTTGACTGAAAATGTTTTGAAATAATTAGTGCATTCAATGGATAAATATATATTGTTTCATAAATAAGCATACCATTAAATATGAGTATCCAGTCCATAATTCTTCCCAACCAGTTGGACAATCTGGCAATTTCATTGATTGACTGTGAATGGCAATGATACGTGTTCTTGTTTCGCATACAGCGCATCTGGAAATGTAATTTTGAACGTCAGTTGCTGGAATTGGATTCATCATTGGTAACATTGGTTCTTCGGTTGACAGCCATAGAGAGTCATCGTTATTTTCGGCATAACTGCAAATATTATTGACGTCACAGAACATGTATGGCATTGTTGAGAATCGTAACATGCACGATCCGGCCAAGCCAAGATCTTGACCAACCGCCCGACTTGATCCAATTACACTGGCCAACGAATAACCTTCCCATAATTTATTTGAATTTGGTGGACATTGTGGAATTTCAGTTTTTTGCGAATGCCGTGCGAATACATATCCGCGTGATTTTGCTTGTGGTGGTACTTGTGCATCGTCACCACGTTCTCCCTTTGTACCCGGATAACCGTCTAATCCATTCAAACCAGGTGGTCCACGATCTCCCGCAGCACCTTTAATTCCGTCTGGACCTTCAAGACCTTTAAATTGATTTAAATCTCAATTAATTATTATTCGAACAATAACAAACGGAACAAACAATATTCTATGATAAATGAATTTAGTAAACATATAATTCTTGCAAAATTAATAGTGAGATCTGTGATCAAGTACAATTTTCACTAATAATATTGGTCCAATAGTATCGTTGTAAAATCATACTGGAGGTAGTACAACGTTAGCAATATAACAGATGACGATAAGTAACGTACCTGGTAGTCCAACTTCGCCTCCGAAGCCACGTAATCCACGAACGCCTTGAACTCCGGGAATGCCTGGAAAACCATCGTCTCCCAATGGTCCCTTCAGTCCGGGTAATCCATCGATGCCGGGCTCTCCTCTTGGCGCCAATTCATATGGATATGTGTAACCGCGTTCACCTGAATTTATCATTGGTTAAAAATTAGTATTCATGTGCCATTATACAAATGCTTAATTCTTTTCGTCTGTTATTACCTTTCACACCCTTGGCTCCATCAACTCCATCAATACCATGCCATCCAACATCACCTTGTTCGCCGATTAAACCGCGTGGTCCTCTTGGTCCTTTAAATCCAGGATATCCCATCTCGCCTTGTAAGCCTTTTAATCCATCGAGACCGGCGAATCCTTTATCGAAACAAGAATAAATAAGTATTAATAGAACCAAAATGAATTCAAGATCATTCGTAATTGTGCATTTACCTTCATATCCTGTTTCACCGATTTCACCTTTGGAGCCACGTACCATTTGACCTGTTAAAAGAGATAAACAATGTTAGCATTCGATTCTAAGTTCAAGTATCTATAATACCTATTTGCGAATATGCATTGAGAACGGATACACGTTTGAAAAAAAGAATGATGTAGCAAAATTATGAGTGAATAAATAAAAAAGTTTAGTACCTTGTGGACCTTGCTCTCCTTTGAAACCAGTCTCTCCTTGAGGTCCTGGAAGTCCTTTTAATCCTGGCAAACCATTTAAGCCTGGAGCACCTTGATAGCCAACGTCTCCCATGTCCCCTTTCACACCAGGTGTACTCAAGCCCGGAAATCCGACGAGACCTATTTGATGAAAAAGAGTCAGAGAAAGAATAGAACACGAGTTTCATGTGAGAATGCGCCTCTATGTTTTAAGAATAAATTTTAAATATAAAAAATTTTTGAACAACAAGACCAGACGAGTAAATTTCTTGTACAGTTTGAAATGTACAGTTTGTATCACTTTTAGTGTATTAATGTCTATTAATTTGTAACAAAAAGTCCAAATGCATTGTGAAACTGTGTATTCACCTGCTTCACCATCATCTCCGTAATCGCCTGGAGCTCCTTTAGGTCCGAGCATTCCTTCACGACCAGGCAAACCATCAAGACCTGGTAATCCAGGTTCGCCTCTTTCAGCAAATTGACTGTTTGATTAAGAACAATAAAAAATAATTACTCTTCTAACTGTTCAAAAAACGACTAAAAGAATGCTAAATCAATATCGTCATTGTAAAGATATTTTAGTACTATTTTCGAATTCTTTAGTCCAATTTTCGGAAATTTTAAGATGATTTTCAAGAAAATTAGTCCGGATTTAGGTTCACCCTTATACATATTTAGTTTTGAATATATGAATCATAGAAATGTATTTTGGCAATTTGCTTTACCTAGCTGGGCCTCGGAAACCCTTCACACCTTTGTCACCACTTGCACCGGGCAAACCTTCACAACAAAAAAATGGAATATATCTTTAGTTTGAGCTATAATTTGAAAATATATTTAAAATTGATCGCATTCTTACCTGGTGAGCCATCAAGTCCAGCCTCTCCTTGAAGTCCGTACTCTCCTTTTCTTCCGTGTCTACCCGGAGATCCTAACGCACCTTCTGCACCCTTTCGTCCCGGTGCGCCCGAATTTCCGTAGTCTCCTCTTTCACCCTTTTGACCTATATCAAAAATTGACAATTTCTTTATAGCGTGCTCATTTCACGTAATTGGATTTAACAGCAATGCTAACAAAGGATTGGGTGTGTGCATTAATTTCCGCCACCGACATTTAGATGTCACTATTTAAAATTGTGTGTAGCTTGACAAGTGAAACCTATTGCATTTTGTAGACTTAACATTTGTCTACCTAATTCAGAGCAGAAAGATTTATTTTTCATACAGTGTCATTATTTTTGAATCAATTCAAAATGGATTCAGATAAGGTGTCTTTTCGAGGATCTCCTTTTGTTTTTTTATTTCAAGAAAACTCCCGCTGCAGCACATCGAACGCTTCGTGATACTAAGGGTGAACAAGTTCCATCGGAATTAGGCTGCAGAGAATGGTTTCAACAAATCAAAAGTGGTAATTTTAAGATGAAAGACGGCCAAGTCAGCCAAAAAAGTTCGAAGATGTGGAATTGCAAGCAATATGCAAAAATAAGTTGCAATGGAGTTAAATCTAGATGGGAAAGATTCGAAGTGAAAGATGGCAGGAAGCAATAGCTAACGATGGAGAATACGTTGGTTAAATATATAGAAATACATGTTTTGTTTTTCACAAAAAAGACGTTGGAAATTAATGCATACACCCAATTGGGATCAGATTACCGAAAAATTGATGTTTACTTATTGCTAATTGCAAAAATGAATATTTTGTGGTAAAATTTACCTGGAGCAACGTATACAATTGGAACAGCTCCAGCAGGGCCTGGCAATCCCACATCACCTTGTTCCCCCTTTTCTCCCTCTTCTCCTTGAAAACCAACATCACCTATTGGAGAAGAAAATGAAAATTTATTAAAAATCCCATCATTATAACAAATGCCAAATAAAGTTCTCTTTGGTTAACGTTTATTTATTTATTCATTTGTTTTCAACTTCGATGCAATCAATTCTGCTTTTTTGCTTACCAAAATCGCCTTTGAAACCTTTTTGTCCAGGAATACCATCGTCACCTACATCGCCTTGCGGTCCATTTGCACCAGATTCGCCTCTCAATCCAAGTAAGCCTGGCAAACCTTTCAACCCGTTTCTTCCTCTGTAGCCCGGTAAGCCCATCATGCCTGCAAACATTCAAATTGAAATCGGTTGCAATAAATTGGTTTATTTTCATTTCTTTAAATTGTGTTAATCTGATTGGTGATTAAATTTACATAAACATACCTTCATCTCCGGATTCGCCAAATTCACCGAATTCCCCGGAATCACCGCGTTCTCCTTTGATGCCTGCAATGATTATTCGCAAATATTCAAATAAAATACTGAATTGAATTTGTACAAAAATCTTTTACAAACCTGGGAATCCATCGTATCCAAATCGACCGGGAATACCGGCTTCACCTTTTGGCCCTTCAGATCCTTGGTACACTGAAATTAAAATAGAATTTTTCTATTATGACACTAGTTCCATTCATTGACACATTTCTTTAGAATATGACGATATCTATCTATTATATGACTCTTCTATCGACATTTTCAATGGGTTTGTTTTCTTACCCAATCCAGCGTCTCCCTCTTCCCCTTTTGGCCCTCTCAAGCCTGGTCTGCCGTTATAACCATGTGGACCCGTCAAACCGGGATTACCCATCTCTCCTTTCACACCTTCAACCGAAAGAAAATCGTACAATTATTATGACATAATAAAGTGTAAAAGACTACGAATGGAAAATATTTTATTTACCACTAAAGGATGGTTCTCCCTTTTCACCAACCGCTCCGAAATAACCATAGTCTCCTCTTTCACCTACAAATATAAACAGTCATTTAGCAACAAAATAGTATTTTTCTTGACCATACTAATGTACAAAAATGCTTTGTAAAATGAAGTTGTGCATACCTTTCCGACCATCTAAACCATTGCGACCATTTTTTCCTTGTGGCCCTTGATCTCCGGTCTCGCCTTTGGGTCCTTGTAATCCAGAAATACCTAAAAATCGGAACGTAATTTTTTTCATTTCATTTAAACGAAATAAATTTTTATAAAATAGATTTTTATCCATTAAGTTTTTACCTCTTCTGCCGGTGTAACCTGGTTTACCGACATATCCAATATCCCCTTGGTCACCTAATTCGCCATCAACACCACGAATACCAAACATTCCTACATGTATAATGATAAATATATCAAGTGTTACTTTACAAAAAATTGGATAAATGATTTGGTTCAGAATGAAAACATGCCTGGTGGTCCAAAATCTCCAGGCTCTCCGACATCTCCTTCATCGCCTGGTCGACCTGCTTCTCCATCGTCACCTTTAATTGAGCAATTAATTTTTTTTTATAATCGTTGTGTAAAAATGTCACACGGCGAGCACAAAAGTGTCATTCACATGCATTCATATGTAGAATTCAATTTTGCACCAAACTTTCGTCATTTTGCTTTATTTAAGGTAGCATATAGCACAGTAGTTTACTGACGGTTATGCTTGCTATATGAAAAATGTTGGAACCGTTGTCCAAAAATTGATAGCGTCCCGATTACACAAAAATTCGAATTTTGAGGAAATTAGACGTAAAAAATCATTTTTACGAAAAACGAACAATTTCTGGCTTGGGATGCAGTGGTAAAATTTTGCTCACAGCTTCTTTGGACCAATTCAAATGACGTGTGGCGATTAAAATCGGAATTTTTGTGTATTCGGCCACCCTAGACTGTTGATGAATTTGAAGCCTCATGTTTAAAAAAATTTCTCGCTACATGCACAATTTGACCAAAATCGATTTTATTCACACGAAAGTCAATAGTCGCTTAATTTTAAATTACCTCTTGGTCCAGGCAATCCTGGCATTCCTGGCCAACCAATATCTCCTTTGTGACCTTTTGTTCAAAAAAAAAAAAATGAAAACAAAATGTAAATATACTTTAAATCGTGCACTTAAATATTTTGTATTTACCTTTATCTCCATAAGGTGCTGATGCTCCATCACGTCCTGGTGCTCCAGGTGGACCCATATCTCCATAAATAATGTCACCTCTTTGTCCTGATTGTAAGCGAAAGTAATCATTAAAAATTGAAACAATGGAAAGTAATTCTTGATGTATCGGAGCGAAGTGAAATGGAATCATGTTTTTGAATGAATCAAACGTTTTTTCTGCACGCCGATTGTATGAATCAATAATATGGAATAGTAAATGAATGAAACAATTACCTTTAATTCCTTCTAATCCTTGAATTCCTTGTGGTCCAATGTCTCCCATCTCACCCTTAACACCTACGTAAATTCATTAGAAAGATTAGTAATTTAGCGAAAGCTCTGCACAAGTATTTTTAAAAATTGTTTTTGATCTTTGAAAAAAGATGGTAACACTCAGTTAGAGAATATTTACCTCTAGGTCCAGGAGCGCCTCTTAATCCTGTTAATCCTTGGAAACCTTTATCTCCGATTTCTCCATCTTCACCGGCGTCACCTAAATTTGTAAATTGTTAAAGAACAAAACGAAATAAAATCATTATCACGCTTTCAACTCAATTCAAGTTGTGATTTCTACCTTGTTCACCCCATTCGCCCATCAAAAGACCACTGCCCGATTCACCACGTGATCCTTTTATGCCTCGAAGTCCATCCTGTCCAGCCTCACCATCAATTCCGGGTAGGCCCGAAACACCGATTGGACCATGATTACCGGGCAAACCTAAATGAAACCATAATAATTTCAATCATTTAGTGACAAATGGCTAATGTTCGAAAATGAAAATACATTAAGATCACAGCGAACGGTATTACGCGCGAATGACGAAACCGCCGTATTTTTAATAGTTAAACTGCAAAATTACAAATAATTTATGTTTTTTTTTACCTCTGTATCCCTTGTTTCCTTCAGGACCTTCAATTATTTCTCCGGGATATCCATTGTCACCTTTGAAACCTACGAATTATTGAAAAAATTATGCAATGAAATAGATTTTCATTCCATTCAATTAAACAAAAATGTTACCTGGAACACCGGGAGGGCCTCTGTATCCTTTCAAGCCACGGAATCCTTGCAAGCCTTGATCACCTAAAACGGATAATTCATTTGATGAAAAATGTGTAAACAAAGTTTTTTTTTACACAGAACTTTTTTTGGTAAAAAAACAATGCCAAAAAGTTGGGCAGTAGTTATACACTTTTTATTGTTTCCAATTCACGTGTACACAAATGAAGATAACATCAAGAGTATCATCATAAAAATGATGTGACTCACTCGTTATATGAAAAATTGACTTCTTCTATGAAGATAAATCTGTACGTTTAATATTACTTTTACCAATTACCTTCACATTTACCAAAAAATATCTGTGTAGAAACAGTTATGTACGAGCTACTTACCGGGTTCACCGGGTTCGCCTCTGTCTCCTTTTGAACCATCTACAATTGAAATAGAATATTAATACGTTATTACTTCACGAAAAATAGTCTAAAATGTTGAAAAAAGCATACCCCATATTGGATCGGGTAAATCACCAGTTTCTCCTCTTTTTCCATCTTCGCCGGGCTCGCCCTTTGGACCCCTGCAAAACAAATTCGGTGTTAGTAATCACAAAAAAGTAAAAGAATTCACACGAACAATCCGAACATTTTATTTTGTACGAAAGAACGAACGAGCAAAACGTAAATAAAAAAATACACTACTAACTAACGAATGAACTTTCGTGAAAAGCTCTAAATAAAAGCATGTATTTTAACTTACTTAAATCCTTTTAGACCTGGTGATCCACGTAAAAATTCTTTCGGTGTATTGTCGGGAGCGCCTATAATCGAAATCAAACCAAAATATTAAGTTCAGATTTCATTTGATCTTTAAAACTTTGAATTTACCTGGAGCTCCATCCAATCCATCTCTGCCGTTTATACCATCACGTCCAGGAGTTCCCTACAATTTTTGTTGGAAGTGATTGTATATTTTTGAAGTCTTATATAACAAAAAATGATTTAAAAAAAACTCACTGGAATACCATCGAGACCAGTTTCACCTTTGGCTCCTTCCAATCCAGGGAATCCCGGTAGACCAGGTGCTCCAGTATCACCATCAGGTCCTTGTAAACCTACACAGTTTTTGTAAAGATTCGTTAGATTCGTTTGGTAATGTTGGAAATATTATTTTAATCGTTTGAAAGGTGCTGACACACACCTGGATATCCAACATCTCCAATATCTCCAACCTCTGCCACTCCTTTTTGAGTGTCACTTTCGATGATCAAACCTACGAATATATTATTATTATAATAAATTGAATATCTTTTTCATGCCGTTTTTCTATTTGATTGATAGAAAAAAAACAAAGTGAATACCTCTTTTTCCCTTTGGTCCTTCTCTTCCTGGTTCACCATTGGCTCCAGGTGGACCTAAATACAAATGATGCAATCAAAGGTTTAAAAATTACAACGAATGCAACGAATTATTGTGTTCAAATCAAACCTCTTATTCCGGGTGGTCCTTGTTGTCCAAGTTTGCCTTGAAGTCCTTTCAAACCACGAGCACCTGTTCTTCCTCTAATACCAGCTGATCCACTAAAACCTGGTCGACCTTTTTAAAAAATGTTTGAGAAATTTGTTATTTTAGCAACTCATGATTTTCCGCTCATTTTTGGATAGTATGACCAATCTGTACTGCTTTAAAGGCCTTTTGAATTATGGAATGCTACTAAAAACGAGGCAACGCTTTTAATCGACGAAGGAACATTCACGACCATTGGGTAATTTTCTAAGTACAATTTAGATGGCAAAATATTATAATTATAGTCATATTATTATTGCATGTTTCCCTTAAACGATTGAAATTGTAATCACTTCACTGCATTCAATTGCATTGTGCAATTTGAATTTATTTCATTTATCTTTCTTTCTAATGTAGAAGCTACTTTAATTACTATGTAAATAATAAAATATGGTTAAGAAGCTTAGACATTCAAATTGCCACATTGGTGGATTCAGACATTAAGTTGTTTATATTTTCAATAATACCATTTTTGAACGAAATATACTTTATTGTGTCCTCTAACTTTCTAGCCTTTATCATTTGGATTGGTTTATGCATTTTTAACGTCTTGAATTTTCGATTCAGTTCTGATTTACAAGCCAGCCAAAATTCTCATTACAAAATATCGGAATATTTATTACGAGGAAACACACGTACGTATCATTATCCTTTTTTTAGGAGCAGTGTTTGTTTAGATTTACATAAAAAATCGTTTAATTTGAGGCAATCACTTTCTTCGTGTTGAAAATAAAATTATAACATAATTGACTCTTGGATGGATGCAATAATTTCACTTTAAAAATTATATTTTCACGTGCTTAGATTCACACCATTTTCATGTGGTTCAGTTTCAAGATTGGTATACAGTAGAACAATTAAAATTGATAAAGACAAATATAAGCGTAGAGCACGAAACATTTTGATTTAGTTCTCTTATGCAAGTGATCCACTTCAAATCGAAAATGTTTAAACGACTAATAGAAAAGTATAAATTAATCAAGGCAGACTACTTGAGTCGAAGTCCAAGGGGAAAGTGGGAGTTTGTACAACAAATTGGAATTTTTGTTTTAACGTTGACTGGAGTGGCAGCACTAGATCGCAATTACAGTAATTTTATTTACCATTTACCAACTGAAGTAGTTACTTTAGCTACCATTCAATTCATTTTTACAGTGGTCCATTGGTATTCATTCGCACCAATGCTTACGATCTTGGACATTATGATATCGTTCATTTATACTCTCTGGTATTATAGAGAAACGCCTCTCACTGGATTGTTGGTTACTCCGCTATTTGGCGTTGTTGTTCCGGTAATTACATGAACTCATCATTGAGCTTTGAAAATACATTTTCCGAATTTCAATTCACATTAATTAATATGTATCAGTCTCAATTCCAAAAAAAAAAACTGTTTTTCTACAAGTGAATCTGACCGCATACATTTCGGAATTATAACTAATCGATAATCAAGTGCCCGAAATGCATGCCTGCAGAAGTTCGATCATATTCAAAACTTATAATGTCCCTAATGTCCATTTGATAAAATTTAAATCACCTTTACATTTTTTGATTTTGTAATGAAATGATATAACAATAAGCAAATTGTTGTTTTTTACTAATAAAAACGTCCATGAATTCTGGGTTGTCTGAATATAAATAATTGATTTAAAAAAATCCAATTTCAATTCACACAGTCTGCGCTCTGTTACATTTTGGTATTGATTCCATCAAAACTGAAAGCGTACCAAAGTCTTGGATTTTGCGCTTCCGATAAAATTTACACGAATATAGATGAAGATTCTGATCCGAAATACATTGAAATATGTGATCGAAGCGCCATTAAATTGCTAAAAAGTACATCATCAACGCTTGGAATTGTGATTCAATCAATGATCATAATGATGTTTTTTCCGATTTATGCGTTCATATTTAAAAACGATATTCAATTACCAATTCCGGTTCTATTTCCATTCACTGATCTTGAGTCTAAGAATGGAATAATCCTTAATGTGGCAAATCAAATTTTCGTTTGTCTGATCGGCACAACTGGAAACGTTGGAATTGAAATTGTGACTTGAATTTTAAAGAATAATGTATGGGCAAGTACGGTAGCGATTTGCTATTCAATCAAACGGTTGACTGAATCTATTGTACATTTCGAGCAAAATATGAACAAATTAAATGATTTGAAGTTTCGCAATATTTTCATACAATTACAGGATGTCGACCGGTACGTTAGCTCTTTATTATTACTTTTGCCATAAAGTATCTCATGGCCATTGATCATTTATCCTAGTTTTATTCTGGGTTTATCTGATTTATATTATTGGAAATTTTTCCTGCAACCAATTATGTTGACACATTCGGTAGCGTTTGCTGTGTTCTTTTATTTATATGTGAGTGATTTATATTTTTCCATTATTCGACAAAAATGAACTAATCAAAACGTTGTTTTGGGCGACTGGATTGGCGGTTTGGGAGCTGCGTTTCTTACTTATTCACAATTGTATATTTTGTGTGATATTGGGAATGAAGTTGATTCGGCTGTAATAAGTTTTATGTGAGATTGATTTCAACAGATTTTGATTTGAATTTTTTTCTCGTCATTTTTCATTTAGAATAAAATGTTATTGCTGAAATTACAAGAGATACCCTGGTATCTTATGCCAAAAAAAAAGTCAACTATGCTATGCTTACATGCTTAAACGCTTACAAAATGGCACTTATCTCCGTATTGGTCCTTTTGCGAAGTTAAACTTTGAATCTTTTTCTAACGTAAATATACTATTTTGACTTGAATATATTTACCTAATGCTTTGGATTAATTTCAGATGACAAATAGAATTTATTCGGTTTTGATGATGCTAGTCAGAATGGCAAAGTGAACAATGTGTGATTCCCAACGTCCGACAAAAAATGCATTGTTATTTCAGTAAACAAATTATTGGCAATTTTCGTCTTTGTCAAGATAGAGACTTGATCTAATTACTTATAATTTAAACTTATCTCCATAATCAGTCCTAGTTACAACCTATAGCTACAGCTATTATTACAAAGTTATAGGTTTTGATTAATTTTTAATGAATTTTTTTAAGTTTCCATATTTAAATATGTTTTCTAGAAAGATGTACGTCACCGATATTTAACTATATAAATACTAAGTATGTAAGATAATCTAAATGTATTCTCTTTATATGCTAGTTAATTGCTAGAATTTAGTTACCTGTTTCTCCAATTTCTCCTTTCTCGCCAGGATATCCAGGTGGACAAAAACCGCAATCGTCACCACGTAAACCTTTGTCTCCTTTCAAACCATGATAGCCATCAAATCCGGGCACACCAGGCATTCCTCTAAAAATTCATTATTGAATAAGCAAGATATTTAATTGATTGAATACAAGGTTAAATACATACCTACGGCCCGGCATACCATCAAAACCAGGTGGACCTTAAATTAAATTAATTTCTTTATTAGTGGCAATTATATGAAACGCAGCAAAATTCACGTAGTTTTAATATAAAATAAAATCTGTATTATTTAGTGGGCTGAATGTAGTTTTTGCCGTTTATTTATATTCAAAATGTTTGGAAATAATAAATATTTATTAATTAATTCTCAAGATTATCCAAATTAGAAATACATCTAATATTCGTCATTTGTACGAATTTTAAACCACCGCCACAAATGTCGATGGGATATAATGCATTATTAAGCATTCACTACTTTGAATAAGTCATTGATATTATAATAATTGAAATACATTACCAGTTATATTAAATCCAATTCCGGGTAGACCTTTATCTCCAGGCAGCCCCGGTTCTCCTCGTTCTCCAACGAATCCAATCACACCTGGCCGTCCATCCGCACCCGATATACCTATAAAATGAAAAGTGAGAGTTATAGTATAGAATAATCGCCAAAAATGTGAATAAATATCTCAACACCAAATAGTCTTCGTAAGACATTTCAAAATTCAACATGAAAATTTAGCATTTTCATGTGATATGACTTTTGGTGTAGAAATAAAAATATTGTTTCGAAAAATTATTCAATACATAGTAAATGTATTGTGTTTGAAATCAACGAAATTACGTTCATAAAATACAAACATACCTTTTTGTCCTTGTACATTTGCGCCAGGGAATCCTTGCAATCCTGGTCTACCAACAGCACCTATTCGATAAAATGAAACATGTAATTGTTGTTCAAATGATTTTGCATCGGATTCTATATTATTCTCTTACCTGGAATGCCAACTGGACCCATTGGTCCCATTGGCCCCGGTTCTCCTTGATCTCCTGGCTGTCCGGGAATAGTTAAACCTTAAATAATAAAATAAATAATTAATTACGGATATAATAACGGATTTTATAATCGAAAGTTTAAATGATTTTAGTTTACATACAATAAGGTCACCCGAATAGCAAAATCCGTCAAAATTCTCAATTTACAAAATTTCGTAATAGCATTGTTCTAATTCCGTTACATTACTATCTTCTTTGACAAATCTGTTGCAAAAATGTTGCATAATGGTCAGTAGAAACTTGACGAGTTTCAAATCAATCATTGTGATATATATATTATACAGTAATGTGCGAAGGGGGGGGGTTTACCCCCCCTGTGATTTGGATGAGAAAATTTTTTTCGCGAAAATTATTCGAATTTGCTAGGGTTTTTCATGAAAAAAGTGAAGACCTTTTTTTTTAGCTCATCAATGTAGAAAATTGAGGAGATTCCTTTAAATTTGCTAGGGTTTTTGGTTCCGAGAGATTTTTTTCAGATTTGCTAAGGTTTTTCGCGGAGAAAATTCTTTCGATTTGCTAGGGATTTTCGCCTCAAAAAGTGACTTCCAAAAAAAAAAAAAAAAACGAAAATTTGTTTGATTTGCTAGAGAATTTTTGGTTTTTGAAAAATCACCCCCCCCTGTAAAATGTAGCTCGCACATTACTGATGTTATATAAATGTTTTTACAACTACCGTTTCGATGGTACAATAACTTTAGGAGAACAATTGTAGTTGGCACTTTAGCTAACACATGCAGTTCATTCTAAAAATATTCGTTATTATAACACAAAGCACGACGATAATGACAGTTCGGCAACGCTCTATTAGAGATTAGTACCGCTGGCAACCGCAGAACTGTATAGAAACATATGGAGTCATTTGGTGGCGCTGGCAAGCAATTTTGCCTTATCGTCATGCTTTGTTATAACATTACAGTGATTATTGCGATGCTGTAACTTTTATTCATGGATTTGTTGGGAAAACCAATTTGTTAAATTTAAATTGCAAAAGACACAAATGTTACATAATAGGACTTTCGCCAATATTTTTTTTTTGATATTTGATATTTGTTTTTCACAATGCGACAAAGAAAATTTAATTTTATAATATTTTACCGCCTTCAATAAAACTCAATAAAAAAATGCGGAATGGATGTATACAAATGAATTGTAAACAAATGTAGGCTACTCGGGCATATATCGAAAACCAAGTAATACGTTTTATTCTTACCTTTGCGACCTGGTAAACCGTCAATGCCTGGATCTCCTGGAGGGCCCGGCACACCGCTTTGACCTGGCCGTCCACGTTCGCCTGTAGCGCCAACCGTGCCTATAAGAAATTTCAAACAATTTTTATTACTTTTTTCAAATTTACATATGAATGACATGAATAGATCTACCTCTGATTCCATCTTCTCCGACGTCACCTTGAGGTCCAATTGGACCGTCCGACTTTTCATCTAAGCTTGGATCGTAAATACCAGGCAAACCGGGTGGACCTTTTAGAAACGTTGAGTTTATATTAAGAACATTTAGTAATAGTACTATGTCGGAGATTAAATTAAACACATACCTTGTAAACCTGGCACACCATTATAACCATCTTCCCCGATTTCACCTTTCAAACCGTCGGCACCGTCTCTTCCAGCATATCCTGGAGCACCTTTTGCTCCTTTTTCACCAGGAGCGCCTTATTTAATCGAAAATAAAAGAAAACGTAACCATTGTCGCATTTTGTGTAAACAGTTATGATCGAAAATAAAGAATGAATTCAAAAACCAATACCTGCTTCACCATCTCGTCCAACTTTTCCTCGATCACCAACGGAACCTTCTTCACCTTTATATCCTTTAAAACCGCGTTCACCTTTCGCTCCGGCATAACCGTAATTACCGCGTGGACCTTTATCGCCCATTGGTCCTTTGAAACCTTTTTCACCCTTTGCGCCTGTTTTTTTTTAGAATAGAAAACAATCCATTAATAATCAAAATAACCCGAATAGATAGAATTCGCGATTTCAATTTACCTGAACGTACAGTTACATCCACTACAGGTAACTCAAATGCACCACTTTCGCCGACATCACCCGGTGGCCCTTTTGGTCCTTTAGCACCTCTGCTTCGAAGTGGCTATTGACAATGAGATAATGTCATTTTATGAAAACATAAAGCATACATTTCGATTTATATCAATCGTACCGGTTGCGAATTTGCATCATCACCGGGGGGTCCAGAGTCTCCTTGCTCTCCTTTGTAACCCTTCAATAGATTACCGAAATTATATTAATAACACATATAATTGGTCGGTAGGAATAAAATTAGATTCCATAAATTATTATAATACTAATTGCTTTACCATCGGACCAACTCTGCCATCGTATCCTCTAAGTCCAGGCATTCCAGTAAATCCTTTATATCCCGGTAAACCGGGCTTTCCAGGCTCCCCTCTTAATCCTTAGAACACCAAATGAAATGAATAATTTAAGCAGTGTTCAAAGTAAACAAAATGTGATGAAATTGCTGATCGATTACCTTTTGTGCCTTTTGAATTGATACCACCCTCTCCCGGATCGCCTCTTGGACCAGTTCTACCCGGCTCACCAGGTGCACCACGCTGTCCTATTAGATGAGAAAGTATTTAATAAATTCATCGATCAATCTCGTAATAATAGAAAATCATCAACTCATTTTAATAATTATCGTTACATTTGCAGAACAAACAGAACAAGTACAATAAATATATTTGAGAGTCCGAGACCCAAAACAAGTTAAAAAAAAGTGTTGTATATGATCGCTTATTTTCAAATCCAATTAATCACCTGGATAACCGGGATTTCCCGGAATTCCAACAGTTCCATCTGTTCCGTTGCATCCATCGAGACCAAATGGACCGCGTGGTCCCTCTTCTCCAGGTAAACCTAAAATTCAATTGATTGCTATAAATATGTTCTTCATTTAATGAAAAAGGATGCTTTCTCACCAGGCATTCCGTTAATTCCACGATGTCCGGGCTCACCTTGCTCCCCCTATTGAAATTCATCGGAAATATTCATTGAATAACAAACAAAATAAAAACTCACTTTCATTGGAACATAATGTAAAATTCACCAAAATTAGGTGTTTTTTTAAACTTTTAATCGAAAAAATTTACCTACCAAATTGGTAGTACCAACGCATTTCAAGCTATATTATATAGCTATGTTTCAAATTAATTATTTACAATTGTTAGCATTTCATTTATTTTCTCCCTTTCTTCTTACCATCAACAATTTGGAAACAATGGACTTTACACATAAAGAGGAAATTAATGGTGAATTGATACTTTAGTGCATATGAGTCCGACTTATTTCATTAGAGTTTGAGATTTTTCGTAAAGCTACAAGCACCAAAAGAATTATTTGAGAGCGATTCACACTGCCAAATTCAATACAAACACACAGCCTTTCGTTCTATGAGTCAACTATTGTGAAAAATGCCACTTACTGTTATGAAAAAACGTTCAAAAAATTTGACATGCATTATGTTTATAAAAGTACAAACAAACTACTTGATTTGATTAGTTCGACTAAACACAAGGACGAAGCAAATAAAAAAAACGGGTATCTATTCAATTGAATAATGAATGAAATTGTGTCACTTGTCGATGTTTTATTGTTTCGCCGAATTTTGTGTGGGTTGTGTGTCTTTGTTTTACATTGTACATTCTTGCTGATATCACTCCAATCATGGGGCGGCTGTATCAACAAATTTTTAATTTGGCGCGGTGATTATACTGACTATAGTTTCGAAATGAATTTTAAAATATATTGAATTGGCCATTTGAGTTGCGGTCGCTCGTTTCATCTTGAGCTCCATCGCGGTCATTTCAATTTGATATTCGTCAGTCGTGCTGCTAAACCTGAGCTATATAATATCTTGAAATGCATTCAACACTATCAAAATAGGTACGTGTTTTTACCTAATACTTGGTAATTTTGTTAAGTCCAAAAGAACTTATCATCTAAGCTGGTTTTCAGTTTAAATCAATTAATTTTTCGGTTAAAATAAAAAAAACCTCAATATATAAAATGTTAACATACTCTAAATCCTTTTTCCCCTTGTGAGCCATATTCACCATTATCTCCAACTTCTCCGGGTCGGCCAGGCGGTCCTACAAGTAAAAAGCAATGTATCAATACCTACAAGTAAAATCAATATCTTCACTGGAAGTTGGAATAACAAAATTATATGAATTGGAAGCTAAAAATTCTTGAAGATGCATAATTATCATCATCGTACGAGATGTATTCATTAAAGAATAGCCAACAAGCGAAAATTATATAAAACGATGGAAATTAATGAAGAAAAAAGCGAAAGCCCTTATTGGATTGTCAATCGAAAACGATTAAATTACAAGGAAGATCACTTTGATGAACAAATCAAGGAACAAAATTCATCGATGGCTGAAGAAAAGGAGTTCAAAGTAAGCGTAGTGATCAAAACTTGTGTCAAACAACATCAGAGCCAAAAAAATCAAGACACAACAATTTTATTACAAAAAAAACTTCATTTGAAGCATGCATTGAAGTTCAGATTAAAACTAAACAAATTACCATCATATCCAATATCTCCGGGTTCTCCTTCTAGACCAGGTACGCCCGATGGTCCTTGTGATCCTAAAGCGCCTTTAATTCCTTCACATTTACACGGTTCTTTATTGCATTCCTTAATGAAAAAAAGACACATTTAAAACAATTGAAAATAAGAAGAAACACTTAAAAATCTGTAAATAAAATTGGGAATATTCAAAGTAAAAGACTCCACACAAGAGAAATTGAAAACACCGTTTTGACTTTCTTTTGCCGATATAGTATACAAAATACACCACACGATCACAAAGATATGATCAATGAAATAAGCACTTTGTGTTAATGTATATAATATACAATGAAATCGTATTATTTCATGAAAATCGATTTACGTCAAGCATAAAATTTATAATATCATAATTTTGTTTTAAATGCTCATTCGTTCGATGTTCCCTTTTGAATTCGCATCAGGCGCATGTGAGTGTTGCACAAAAATGTGTAAACGTCTTCAGTTGCATAAATAAATGAAACTTTAATTCATTTTGTTGTTTGTCGTTTCGCTTTTCTTATCAACGATAAAAAAAGCCGTAGGCCGATCACTAGAAGTAATCGCACAGCGCTGGATGTATGCATAATATTGCTCTCAACAGTGTTGGTTTGACACACTTTACATACACTGTTTTCTAGCAGCAAACGGATGATGGTCCGATACAAAAATTTTATGAAATTTTTCAAGCTGTGCTTATTACTGTCTAGATGCTCATTTCTAAAAATAAAAAGGCCACCCGTTCTAAGAAAATGTAATCAAACCGGAAAGTATGTGTGTAAATTGATTATTTCCACTGGTTGTACGCATACGCATTGTATTGAACACTAAATTTTATTGAATTTTCAACATTTCACAGGACTTTTTTGATTGTTTTGTAGTTTTATAGATTTTTTTGTGTGCAAACAGTGTTGGTATAGTATCCAAGCATTTTGTTCCGTTATGTTGATCTCACATATTATTATTAGCCACTTCCGGGAACAATGAAGGCGTTCACAAATACACAGATACACAATTTCACACAATTCTGAATTTAGATACACATTTTATTGCAAAAAAAAAAACACTCACATACACATGCACACACACAAAGAGCACTTTTTTATTCTTAGCATACTCGATTCGCATCATGTTTTCATTTATATTCAAATTTCAACTGTGGTCACAAATTGTGTAAATTGCATTGCGTATGCGCCACATAATATGCTGTTGGAAACGAAAGATTTAATTCAAATTGCTTGAATGCACCACCACACAGTAGTAAAAAAAAATTCAGTTCTTTATACGTCGTCATAATTTTGGTTTGCCTGTTGTACATTCCGTACAGTTTTACGTAGGTTGCTCCATAATTTTTTTTAAAATGGTACTTATAGTGTTGCCCGATGTAAACCATTGTCATATTCGTAAAGTTTGATGTTTTGGTATGTATTCGTGCCCTGAACCTTTTGTCGTACGAACGCTATTTGTATTGTTTACAGTGACTGGTAAACTGCGACTCAACAAAAAAATGAATTTTACACGTGAAGATTTTCGTAAAATGATTTACTACGATTTTCGAAGTAAATTATCTCAACAACAGTGTTTCGATCGACTTCATTTGGCCTTTGGCAATGAAGCACCAACCCTTCAGACAATTTATAACTGGTACCGAGAATTCCGTTGCGGTCGTAGTTCGCTCAAAGACGAGTTTCATACAGGTCGTCCAAAATCGGCTGTTGTGCCACAAAACATCGATGCTGTCAGAAAACTGATTATGGAAGATCGTCATGTGACCTACCGTGAGATTGAGGCATCTTTGGGCATTTCATCCCACAGCATACATACAATTTTGCATGAACATTTAGCCGTAAAAAAGATTTGCTCTCGTTGGATCCCACATAAATTGACCGATGAACAAAAAATGGCTCGTGTGAGTTGGTGTAAAGAAATGCTCAAGAAATTCAATCGTGGTGCTTCAAAAGACGTTAATAAAATCGTCACTGGTGACGAATCGTGGATATATGCCTATGAGCCCGAAACGAAACAGCAGTCGACTGTATGGGTCTTCCAAAATGAAGATAACCCAACGAAAGTTGTTCGAGCAAGAAGCACTTCGAAGCGAATGGTCGCCTGTTTTTTCGGGAGAAGTGGTCATGTGGCAACCGTTCCACTAGAGGATCGTAAGACCGTCAATTCTGATTGGTATACCACCATTTGTTTGCCCGAAGTGTTTGGTGAAATAAGAAAAAACAACCACCGTCGCAAAATAATTCTTCATCACGATAATGCGAGCTCTCACACATCTTTTCAAACTACTCGATTTTTGACCGGTCAAAACATCGAACTGATGGGTCATCCACCGTACAGTCCTGACCTGGCACCCAATGACTTTTTTTTGTTCCCAAGCGTGAAGAAAAAACTACGTGGTCAACGATTTTCGACACCAGAAGAAGCAGTTGAAGCGTTCAAAACACACGTTTTGGAGATATCAGTTTCGGAGTGGCGCGAATGCTATGACAAATGGTTTCATCGAATGCAAAAGTGTATCGATCATCTCGGGGAATATTTTGAAAAACAATAAAACCATTTTCGACAAAAAACAACTGTGTTATATATGTTTTTAAAAAAAATTATGGAGCAACCCTCGTATTATTATTGAAACAATTGGATGGACGGATTTCAAATATACATATCTGTTTTTTTACTCAGTTAGTTTTTGGGTCACTTTGTATTGAGAAAAGGAAACCGAACACTGATAGCAACAGCCCTCGGAAATGAACTGATTATGATGAATACTGATTTCATGACAACAACTACACAAGACTTTTTTTCACATTCAATACAATATTTCTCAGAAAATTTGAATATATTTTTTCACCAATAATCCAGTTTTTGCAGATGCAGCATATTTTAATCATGAATTTTCTTCATTAATACGCACACTTTTAAGGCTTAATTTTTGATTATTAAGTAATAACCATTATTTTGATTTATTTTGTATTTTCTACACGAAACACTTTTTATCATTCGTAGTAACTATGCTTCTTGAAGATCGATGATGTTAAAGATCGATGTTGTAATCCAATTTGTTGTATTCATTTCCAATTTTTGTACATCGTGGAAAAAAATTAAAAAAAAAACTATTCAAAATTTAAAAAAATGTCGAAAAATCTCACCTTTGTGGCATTTTTACACTCAACAACACCGAGCATAAGTAAAATACCCACAAATAAAAGCGAATAGTTTTTATGGAAAAAATTGCTCAGGCCATATTGACCTGTGAGCAGATTCATTTTCACTCTTTTAATCGTCGTCAATTAGCTCAAAAACAATACTGTCATCAATCCAAAAATAAAAACACTTTATTCCCAACTATAGGCACATTAAAATGTACTAATCACACTAAATTGCCGCTGAAAAAAAATCACAATCAAATTTGAGATTGAAAATTATTCTAAGTAAGTGATAATGTAAATCCATTAAAAGACTTTGAAAAAAAATCATATCTCACTTATTAACACAAACACTAACTGTTTTTTTTTTTCGTTAAACCTCAATTTTCTTCTCCTTATAAAAAAGCCAACCGTTTTTTATGAGAACGGAGCACCGACTGAATAAGTGGATTTAAATTTGAAACTCATATGCACGATGTGAATCGTAGCGTAGCCAACGGTTTCAACCAACACAATGAAATTTGATTTAAATGTACTCCTTTATCATCGCCACGAAAAGAGAGCAAGCATTTACATTATATGAAGGAACATGGAAATGAACGGCGAATAAAACGAGAAAACGAGATAAGAGCCGACGAATTTTTTGCGCTTTTTTCTCATTCTTCTTCCTGAATAGGGTCGTATTGGTTGATATACGCCTTTTGATGTTGATGTTAACATATCGAGATAGTGAGCGCGCTCGAAACCGGACGAAAATCAAATATCAAACTTCCAGTTGGATACATTTACGAGAAATTATAATGAAATTATGCAATTAAGACTCATTTTAGCCCGGATGATCGTTTTCTACACAAACAAATCATAGAGACGTTTTTTTTCTATTCAAATCTTAAACAAAATATTATACTTTGTTATCGCGACCAACCTATTTACGACATATTCTTTGCTTGTACAGAATATCACTTTCAAAGTATTTAGCACATGGAGAACGAAAAATACTCAAAACATTTGAAGCCAAAAAAATCTCGAAATTGAAAATTCATTGATAAAATTTAAGTTGAGTTGATTTGAATGCTTAATTTTTTTCATATCAATGAACAAGTCGATTAAAAAAAAGAAGAGCGATTAAACGCACAAGATCACAACCTTCTGGTCCAATTTTGAAAAATATTCCACTTCTTATGGATTTCATGTTTTTTTTTTTCGAATATCAATTGATTAAATATAATACATAACATTGCTGAAATTTACAGAAATTATTATGAGACAGTAGAAATTCTGTTTCACCAAATCATTTTCTGTGTAGGCATAACATATCGGATCATATGTTTAAAACTGTTGCCACATTTATGATGCATCGTTAAATGTGAATGCGCGTTTTGTGTGAGTGTGAGTGATCACAAATTCATGAACAGTTATCTCATAGGATACAGTCATACCATTCAACACAAACTCACAACGAAACACAAAAAGATCTAATTTAAAATATCTCATTTCAGCTGGAAACACTTCGTAATAATTTCATGTTTGAAATTGCATGCGCCGCACAGTTTTTGGAATTTAATGACACCAAAAATGCATGCCGCTTGCAAAAACGCTCACATCGTCCGATCATGTTCTGCAAGACAAATTAAGCAAAGACTATCGTTTATGCGCGCATATTCTGTTGAAATGTGCGTTTAGTTTCAGTATGACTTTGTTCTGATGTGAAGTGATGACTGGTCTTTTTGGGTCATTTCAAAAAAAGGAGGAAATAGCATGTGCGTGCATAGTGCGGAATGCAAGCGATAGTGAGCCGTTTTTTTGTACGTTTACAACAAAGTCAATGCGAGTTATTAGATTGCAAAATTAATATCCATCGTCTGAAACGAATGAAGTTTACTTTCATGCTATCGTCTGAGAAATTAAAGTTTGAAATGATTGCTTTGGAAATGATTCAGTTGCAGTCATAAATATGAATCGAATAAACAGTTTAAATCGATTTCGTTTGAAACCAAACAACAACAAAACACGGTTTCACTAGCATTTTATGCTGGTTAGAATGTTAGTGACTTGTGTGTATGTGTGTGCGCGCAAACAAAAAGACAACGTCTAAGAAATTCGAAACGTATGCATACATTGCGAAAAAAGCGACCAAAGTGAATCCAAAGATTGCTTCGAGCATAAACATATTGAATTGAACTGCCGTCCGATGCATATATGGTAAATGAATAGCGACGCCTTTCGAAAAAATGCAGCATTTTGAGGAGCAGACAAACAAAGTTAATACAAAATGTCCAGTTTCTATTTTGGAGCGCAGTCTTTTGAGTAAAAAGAGAAGAAAAGAATCTTTCATTCAATCAAATGTGCCAAGAAAATGTATGTGTGTAATATGTGTAGCCTTTTATGTACTGCGTACCAGTGAGCCAAAGGGTCAAAGTAAAGTCAATTCAGTTTTTGATTATAAGCACTGTTTCTTTTCCTTGATATTTTCAGAGTACTGAATGTTCTAGCTGTTTTGCTTTTTTAGCAGTTTTGGCAACACAAATTTGAGCTTATTTTCGTTGATAACACATTGATATTTCCCTGTTTAGTAACACTTAGGCCACATCATTTTTTGATAATAATGAGCGAGACACAAGGCTACAGGAAATTGTACAATTTGCAGCGCGATAAATTCACAGCAATATGAACATGAAACATGGAAACTCGACACTTTATGAAATGATTTTTTTTTATTTCTTATTCAAATCAGCACAATTTTTTACACTGAATTTCCACACACAAAACGTGATTCTTTTTTAATATATACTTTTTCCACATATTTTCATAAATTCTTCTTACCTTTGCATATAAAGCATCGAATAACACTGAACCGAGCACAATCAATGCTATTAATCGATTTGCATTAAACATTGTCTTTCGGCCAATTTGGCCTGCAGACGATCTCATTTTTCACTATTTCTGCGATTAATTAGAACATTCATAAAATATTCATCGATTCAATGAAAATTTTGATTTCTTTTTGTTTCAGAATATGAATCAGCTGCACTGAAATAAAAAAAATACTTTTAAATAAAAAGAAACTTCTTTCACTAAAACCATCAATTTATGATATTCCTTTTTTTCTTGAATTGCAAAAAATGTAAAAAAATATTGTAAATTGAATTCACCACAAGTTCTTGTTCACAACCGATCGCTACGAAGTCTGAAGAGCAACTGATCGACTGGAATTGAATTCGCGCTTCATATGCGTTGCTGGAAATGGCCCACCGCGCACGAAAACCAACACAATCAAATTCGTGTTCCTTTATCAAAACGATCCGAAATGAGAACATAAGTTAACAGTATGTTTATTGGCGGAGCAGCACATAAAGCAGCACGAAAGAATATATATGGAATAGTGTGACGAATGATGGGAAAGTCATATAGCCTTAGATTTTTTTTCGCAAAGTTCATTCGTTCTTTTGTTGCTCGATCCTCACTGTTTCATGTACACGTAATCAACGTTGGGTCGCTGATCCTGATAAATAAACGAAACTAAACGAGAAACAAAATGCAATTGAATGAAACAGATAGTTGAGTGCGTACAAGATGCCTTTAGTTCAGTCAGATGGAGACAAGTGCTTGTACAAACTACAAAACCGATTATATTAAAATTGACACTGAATCATTTGGAATTGTTATGAAGCCCAACAAGTGCAATATAAAATGCACTCTCATCTCGATTAATTACACCTTCGAAGGAAAACAAATGATTTATTGCAAAAGTGATTTTGAAAGAGATTTTATTGTGGGTATTTTTTTTAAATATTTTCACTAGTTTTTTGTTTTGAAAAAATTCTTGAACCATAACTATCTCTTCCAAAACTATCATTTTGGAAAACAAATCTAAAATCTTGCATCCACGAAAATGATGCTAAAAAACAATAAAATGAGAAAATAGATACGCTACACTCCATATGAAAGGCATATGCATGTTTTTTGACTACCATGTTCTATATGCAGTATACGCGCGCATCGATTCATTCACTGGAGGTACTTGCCAAATAAAAATAGAAACCGACTGGAAATATTTTAAGAACCAAAGCATATGGCTGTGATTTTTGTCTCTTTTACGCGCGCGTATATAAAAATAGCGATCGGTTGAATTGAAAGGCGCTGTTTTTATTCCAGTGAATTTCGAGCAGATTCCGACTATGCATAGAATTATGCTATCAGCAAAACGTGCATGGAATATGAGAAAGCACGTTTCACAAATACATAAATCGAATGGAAATAACTTAAACGTAAACAAATCACATTCATTGAATGCATAACTTTCGGCGATTCATAATTGAATTTAGAGGAATGAAATGAATCAAATTATAACAAGTTTTTTCGGCGGCACATTGACATTTTGTAAGAAAAATTGTGTTAAAGCATTATATATTTTTTTGATAATCATTTCCACGCGACTTTTCGTTTTGTTCGGTATTCCATTTCCATTTCATTTACGACCAAGAAAGTTTATATTGAGTACATCACTTCCATCACGTTGATCGTCATATAAATAAATATCGGCGTATTTTTTGTTGGACTATTATATGATTTAATGAGCTATCATATGATTTTTATTTCTCATACGTGTAGCAAAATTATTAGTGATGTAGATTCACAGTGCATGTGGATGAAACCAACTGTCGTACATGCAAAATTTTAGAGTGATTTATGGATTCTATTTTTTTCCACTATCGTTTTGGAATATGGTAAGTTAGGCATTGCTAATACGGAAAACCTTTTGATACTTCTGAAAAAGGCAAACACTCAAATCAAAATAACCACTACCGATCGATATTTTTTAAATGAAATTTTTACAAAAAATGATGGTTTTTTTATTATCAAATAAAAAGCAGCTCCCAAAATCGGATTATGGCATCTAAATATAAGTTACGATTAAATCAAATCAATGATCTTTCGGTGGAATTATTACATGAATAAAAATTCCAAAAAACTATTCAAAGTATTTTTTATCTTAAGAGAGAGTGTGGGGAGGGATAAAATAAATATTGCATTAAAGGAATTATTTTCTTTATCAATTGATGAATTTGCCCAATGGAATTCCAGTGGACACTGATTGTTGAGAAAAAAACTTTAAATTTACTGGTTGACAAAGGATAATTTTACTTACACACAATTTCCCATTGGATGCAGTTTCCTGTGATTCAGTTTGGAAATACAAATACATTCAATTTAAATAAAGCGATAAACACACAACCATTTAGATAAATATTCATTTATTTCATTCATTTTTATGTATATATAATTTGTCCTTGCGGTGTAGTAATGGTAATAATTTAGTTTTCATACGCATTTTTCTTTGCGCCTGTGTACATTAAATATATGCAATACATCTGATCAATATAATGTTTGTATGTGTGTAATATATCAGAATGCATGTCATACATTGTGATAATATCATTAGAATAGTGTTTTGACAAATATTTGCGAGCGATTTCTTTTAGTTTTGTCCCATAGTATTTTTTTTGCAAAAATTTTGTTTTCATAAACCGAATTGGTTTTGTTTAATTTGTTTTGATCATATTCAGGCATTTGTCATATCATTCCAAAATATTTGCTTCACAACTGTCGTCTTTGCTTCTACTTGTCACAGTTTCTTCTCTTTTCATATTAATATTAAAAATAGTTTTCATATTTACTTTACTGTCTATTCTGCAATAATATGGCCTTAATTTATGTTGAAATTCTCTAGTTATTTAGCACTTAAATTTGCACTTGCAATGAATTGTTTCGTGTATCCGAAAGATGCACAATGACAAATGCAAAGCAATGACAAATCGCTTCGCATTCGCCAATGTGTCGAATTTCGTGCACGAATCATTTTTTTGTGTGTAGATCTGAATCTGGGCCCTTCATTAAACACAGCAATTGAACGCTATACACTAAGATGTATGCTTTCGGAAAGCGATGATTAAATATTCTAACGAACAATGTGAAAGGAACTGAGTTTTCTTCAGCAGCAGCCTAGAATCAACAATGTCCTTTTGTTTGTCTTCTTGTAACTGAAAGAATTCCTGTCATTGATGGTAAATCTATTTTTTTTTCTAAACTTGAATGAATAACAAATTGTATTGTGATGTTATATATGGTTAAACGAAACGGTGCTTGGAATCTATGCTTTTGGATTAACATTGTGTTCAAATTTTATTTTTCTTGGTAGTTTTTTTTTTCTTCTAGTTTCATAACAATAAACACTCTAGCCAATTTAATGTTGTACTGAATAGTACTACTATTCGTTGTATAATGCACACACTAAAAAACACCAATAAAATTTTTATTTATTCAATTTGAATCAATCGCAACAGATATACTAATGTGCAAATACGCGTTTTTGTTTCGCTTCCATTGTAATACATTATGTTACTATTAATTGTTCGTTTATGTGATTTTATTCGATCAATTGTCGTTGGGGAAGTGCAATCCACTAGGAAATACCGAAAATGAAATACAATTAGATTTCCAAGTTTCTGTTTACTCTTAGCAAAAATGAAGCGATCGATTATTTAATTATACAACAGTTCTCAATTTGATAGTTTTACAGGCAAAACACATGGCTACGCTAAAAATTTATGCTGTTGTTGATAAATGCTACACTCAAATGGTAGGTGTGTGTTATTCGTTAGTTTTCTTTGTTTTTGTGTGATTTTAGTAAAATCTTTTTCTTTTTATGTTACGAACACTCAATTGTCATAATTTTGTCTAAAAAACAATTTTTGCCGTTAAACACGACTAATTCAAGCTAAATCCATGTCTTATCGCCAAACTTGGTTGGGATTTCAAAGGCTTTTTATTTACAAAAAAAGTGGTTTCATTTTTATTCTTATCCTCATATCATGTAGATTGGGGAAGTTAATGAGTGTTCAGCTACAAACGCGGGATATGTCATTTAAAAAAAAATCCAGTCTATTCTAGTTAATTGACTAAAGCTCTAAAATAATTTGGGTATGTGTCTTTTAGAACACCTACAAATGTTCTAGTTTCATATAATGGCTAATATTAGTCCGGCTTCGAATCAATGAGTTTTGTTTCTCAAAGTTTTTTTATTCAGAAAATATTTGCATGTTTATTTAAAAGATGTTCACTTAGACTAATATTCTGCCAATGCCACGATACAGCTTGGATCGGAGCAAACGTAAAAAATGATGTTATACTCACTGCTATGCTATCAAGTATCAGCAGCGATATGCTGTGAGCTTTAAACAAAATAAAACAGTCTCCGATATATTTTGTAAAAAAAAAAGAAATCCTACTAGCTAGTAATTGAATTGTTGTCTATCTCTCTGATTAAGAAACACTCTTTTTTAAATAGCTTGCTTTGTCTGAATATAATGAAACTAACTCTATACAATATTATTAATTTTACACTAAGCATTTCATTTAAATCGTTTTTATTAACATTTATTATTGTACACTTAGTATTTATTGTACACATATTCATAATATGTCTTTAATTATTCAGTTTATTTTTTTTTTTTGTTTATTGCTCGAACAATATTTGTTTTTGTTCGTTTAAAAAAAACGTGTACTCTTTTTACTTTTGGAATAAAAAATATCTCCCAGTTGCTTAACTATAAAAAACTCAGTGATATCCTTGGTTTTACTCGGTTTTTTTCATGTAAAAAAATGAAAAGAAAAAGAAAGGTATCTCAGAATGTGTGACGTGATTTTTGGTCAAAGGTGAATAGTGGATCTACAAAATTATTCGCGATTGTTTTATCATGAAATGAAAGTGGTTTTTATACGTTTAAAATTGGATTTGGGAAAAAATCCCCTTTTTTGTGATAAAAGAATCGTTTTCTCCGATTTGATTGTTAGTTTTGAAAAATCGAATGGGATGATGTGATTTTGATTTGTTTTTTTTTTTTTAGCTTTGTGTGTTGCTTTTCAACGCAATTTCGAGAACGCGTTTCTATGGAAATATTTTAGTTCATAATGTTACGAATCCCTGTGATTTTCGTTTTAATTCATTTTATTCGGATGTCAAATTTTGTGAAAGAGAAAAAGAGAGAGATAGAGATAGAGCTGATGATTTTTCTTTGGCTTTTTTTCTGTTTGTTAAAAAAATATATTTAAAAATATACCTCATTTATTTTCAGTTATTTTAACTGTATCTCTCTGTGTGTATGTTTATGTGTATTTGTTCCTCGGTCGATCCCATTAACCAAAAGCCATTGAAAATAAGATTTACGAACATTCAAGTAAATTGTGCGGCTCATTTGATTTATGTCACTTTTGTTGATTGCCTTGCATCAAAAGAAAATACTCACCCCAAAAAAAGGAACAGAAGAAAAAACAAAGCGAAACTTATATTTTACTTTATTCATAGCGCACAAAAAAGATTATTCGGCATTCAAAGAGACAAATAAAAAAAATCGTCAAAAAAATCGGTGTTGAATGAGAGAGAGTCCCGCTTATATATCGGCAAGAAAGTAAATGAAAAACACAATAAATAAAGAAACCACAGATTGTTCAACAAGTAAAGTATACTCCCACCAAAAAAAATAAACTCAACGACGCCATAAGATGCTTGAATTGAATGAGCTTGAAGACAAAGTCATCAAGACATGGAATTGGAATTGATTTGTTTTGTGTTTTGCTTTTTGGTTTAGTTTTATGTAAAATATTATGCAACGTATTTTTTGTTTCTATTTATTTTTCATTCACAACATGCTTTTTAATCATCATTTTGTTTTAAAACTGGTTTCATTTGTTACTTAGGTTGTGTACAATCTTTGTTGTTATTTTTGTTTTATTAGGATATCAATATTTTTGTTATTTAAATGTTGTATTTTCTGTGTTTCATTTTCATTTCACTGTATTTTGTATATATGTATATATTTATAGAATCATCACTAATCCATACTTTGAAATTATTAAATTATACTTAAATTTAGTACAGCATAAAACTATATGTATAATGTATAGAAATTAAAAATTGTTTTCATTGAATTTTCATGCGTACAGACACAAATTCTGCCCTACATTTGCAATGTGCATTGAATTTTATTTAATTTGTTATTATTTTGTTTTAGTTCAAATTTTCCATTTAAATGGCAATATATTCAAATTGTTTTCTAAATCATTTGCACAAATGGCAATTATGCTCTTCTCATGATATATATGTATATAATAGTTTAGATAATGAAAATCTATGGTCGATTTTTGTATTAATATTTTTACAATACCACAAATGTTCTTCTCGTGCAAATCATCATTTTGCTAATTTGTCTTTTACATCAATGAATTCGGCACTAGCATCCATTCTTTATTCAGATATAAATACCATTCTCTCGTAAAAAAATAATCCCAAAAATCCATAACATTATTATTTCATTTTGGCCGGCCGTGTCTTTTCCCTATACTCTCGCCTTTACATTTGCATATTGACGCTGGCCACGGCCTCTTCATCTATGATCATCATTAATGTCACTTCTTATGGTTTATCTCACGTACAATGTATAATTGGTTTTTGTATTTTTTTGTTGTTGTTGTTTATTTCTTTTAATAATATTCACTAGAGATACAATATGGTTTTCATTTTAAATATAGATGTATATAATATGTATAAATAAATAACGAACAAAAAACACACATTTTTTTTATTACTTCATTCAGGCGTTAATTAATTTATTTTGTTTCAACAATACGTAAATAAGTGAATTTATGGGTTGCAAACAATTTGCTGTTCCAACAACGATTCGATATTATGTTTTCTTTGCAATTCGGTTCTGATTCAAACCACTTTGCTGCTGCTGAAGCGATTCATTGCGAATTGTCTGAACAATTTGTTCGTTATTTTTTTATTCTCTGATGTTTTCATTTCGAAGATTGATTGGTTGTTGTATTGTTGCTGTTTAGCTGCCACACATTTTGATTTTTATACTTAATTTGTTGGTTATAGCTGTGTTTATGATTTTTTTTCTATTGCGTGGCGAGCACATATACACACAAAAACTACTTAAACAAATGTTGTATGTTACAATTATAAGTTCATCCAGTTTAAATTTAAAAAAAATCCAAACTGAATTGTATGTCATCTACGAAGCATAACGAATGCAAATGAAAACTTCTGTCGCCTGCTGAAGAAACAATGATATCGAATAAGCGATCGAGAAGCGGAGAATGATATTTTGTTTGCTTTTTGTTTTCTCTTTTTCTCTCTCTCTCGTCTTCAAGTTCAACATTCCATTCAAACAGTGTTTTTAAACAAATGCCCAGCATTCAAGTGTTTTTACAACAAAGTCTTCCTGCGGTGCTAGTGGTTCATTGGCATATGTGCTGCATCGCTGTGATCGTCCTAGATTTAAATCACCATCCAACCATAAACCGAATTTGCCACTAAAACAATAAAAAATAAACAAACAACAAAGTTTTGTTAGACACAACTGTTTTGTTTAAAAAGTAAAAAAAAAAAACGAAAAGAAAACTTATTATCGATACTTACTCGCCAGCTCCGATGGACAAACTTTCTGGATTACCCTTGATAAAGTACAAATTTTCGCCAGTCCAATGAAAGACTTTAAAACTTGGATTAAATTTAAACAACAGCGATTCACCAGTTCCATAAAATAATTCGGAAACATGGAGCGAACACGATGTCAAAGCACCAAATACCTGTTGTAAGTAATTTTTGCCGAATTAAACTTTTACCGTCAATTTAACATTCATTTTAAATAAGACTTAAAAACTTGTACTTACATTATTTTCTGTATCCTGAATAACTATTAAAATCGGACTTTCTATTCTTGCCAATTTTCTATAGAGAGAGTTAAGTGAAAATCCATTCTGTGAAGTGCTGAACACCAGCGACCACGAATAGCCTTCTGCTCGTGCTGGTAAATGTCCACATAGCTTTTCTCTGTTTTCGTTTCAAAAAGATACATTAAAAATTATTTTCGTAATTTATGGTCAGCATATAACCAGCCTGAAGCCTTTACGTACCTGTGCTCTTCAGTCAAAATCTCCGTTGTGCCAATAAGATCTGGTAATGGGAAATCTTGGTCGAATGACCCAGTTGCGAACAAAGATGCTTTGCGGTAATCATCTGTGCTCATAGACAAAACCTATGATAAAGATTGAGTTTTCATTAGATATACATTCAGAGTTAAATTCAGACAGACAATGAGAAAAAAAAACAAAAATAAGCTAAAAATGTCTAGAAATGGTTAGAGTAAAAAATATATGATAACGTTCATCTAAAGAGACAGATTTTGCTAAATGGGAAACATGATATATGACAAATGATCGAAGCATATCACCAACTCAATTGATGACTTTCAAATGCAAACTGATTGTATATGAAGGAAAAAAATAATAATAAACGGAATAACTAACATCAATCACATGACTACAGAATTATATTTTCACGCATACACAAACACAGTCAATTAAGATTTGCATTTTTGTTTGTACAGAGGTGAAAGACTCCGAGCATCCTATTCAATTCAGGCTAATTACAAAAACTATGAATGAATGAAATACCAATTCGACGTGTTGAATAGCAAAAATAAGGAAATCACGTTCCAAATTGTTATTCTATTCAGTTCAGTAAAATGAGCCGGCTTCATCAATAATAAAATAAACCGTTAAATCTCATTGAAGTAATCAATAATAACGTAGCATTTGTTTTAATCAATGATATGACCAATTACCGATTCGAGATCGAATTTTTTCTTCGCATTGATGGATTCATCAGTTTCGACACTTTGTAATGATGTGCCAACGACAGGCCGATATTTTCTTCGAATGTATGGCAAAATGTAATTAAGTCGCGGTCGATAGTAGATATACAGTTGATTGCCCCATTTTCGACCGGAAATGTATGCAACAACCATACCGATTACAGCTATAAAAAACCACATGATTTTCTCGTCTCGTTACTATAACAATTTCGGATCTCTTTTTTTTCAATATTCACAACTTTTGCTTTTTTGCTTTTGTTCATCGATAAATTTTTTATCGTTACAATTTCACACACAGTTCACTTTTAAAATTGCCGATCGGTAACAAAACTAGAACAGTAAATAAATTTTTTTATTGTTTGTGTATACATATGATTGACAGACTTTTCCTTTGTCATGAAAACAATTATATATCCTCAACGTAATATGAACATTGATTATTCATGATGATTTAATCGTTACGGTCGTTCACTTACAAATGAATCGAAAATATTGTAGTTTCACATTGTTTCGACCAATAAAAGGGGCATCAATCGCATTAAATGTCATGAAAATCGGAAAAACTGAGACTGAGTCGACTGGAAAATACGTTTCAGTCCATTAAATGTCAAGTCGGTGCTTTTTTGAACACGCGAAGTAAACATTTGAAACTTCGATCGAAAGAAGCAATTAGAGTAATTTAATGCGTTCAAAAAAAAAAAAAAATCAAAATACCCAAAATATTTATTGATATCGAAATTCAATCATAAATTCTTCGAATTGAATTGAATCGATCGTTGATTTCAGTTCCTTTATAGGTCAATTGATAGTAATTTAAGCGAAGATTGTTTGTGCTTCGATTGTCAGATAGCAAAATTGCGGTCCAGTTCATTGGAACGAAATTACAAGCAATTTTCTAATAATAATCTTTAATTTATGCTTCGTGTTCGATGCAAATATGAAAGTAAAAGTTTTTTTTCATGAATCACAAAATGTTTTTTTTTTTCGCGACTCATCGCAGAAAAAACGTGTTAGTACAATTTCTCAACACCTAAGGTTTCGTGTATCGTTAATTAGATATGGATCAAATGTTAATCTCGTGCAATGTTTTATTGACTTTTAAATAAGAAGTGGAAGTGTTTGTTTTGCCTATCAGCAAATAGAAAACGTTTTTCCTTTGTCGAGCCGGTGATTCATGGTTATCACAATTGAAAATTTCCAATGCAGCGGAATTAGTGGTTGATTTAACAAAAGTCAACAATCTGTTAGAAAAAAGTTTAAATCTCTATTGCTGTCGAGAAAAAAGAAACGTTTTCGAAAGCAAACCGCATGTTTTGGCAATACTATTGAAAAATATGTAAACAAATACCAAAATACACGCAAGCGCAAATGAGTACCGTTATGATTAGCACGTAATACAAAACGATGCGGTTGCATACGAAAATACGAAACATATTCAAACTATATGTTCACACCGGTGAAATTGGAAGTCGCAAAGACCGCAACAGACGCGCGCATTCCACTCGCTAGCGATTCCGTACAGCGAGCGTGTTTCTGATGACACTTGTCACGAAAAAAAAAACAACTTGAGAAAAATATTCGATACGAAAAGACTGTCAAATGTATACAAAATCAAGATTTGCGTGTTCAAACATTGATTATTACAATTAAAGTACCGACACATTTAAATTTTGCAGGAAAATCCCGTATTCAATTCAGCGATTTTTGCTAATGCGCAATGATTTCATCATTTATTCTATACTAAATAAACTTTATTGTGTCGCGATTCTATCACAGAAATGTCACATTAAATACTTTCAAATCAAAATGCATATCGATTAAAATCACTAAATGAACAATTTGTGAATCGAAGACGGTAGCGAATTAAATACAGTAAAATGATGTTCTAAACATTATAACTAATGTTACATAAACAGAATAAAATGAGGAAAAATGTGCCCATTATTTTATGAGCGTGCGGAAGATAAAATATGAGTGTATGACGTTTTACACAGCAATACAGTGACTGAGCAACAACGAACGCAAATACACTTGTGCGAACTGGTTCGTGTTTTTTCTTTCATTCTCTGTGTATTGAACAGGGAGAGAGCATCGCGCGTCGCGATATATGCCACACGTATCGGATGTTGTACGTGAGTTTCGTACATGACGAATAAAATATGTTAAGTACAATTGTGAGTGCAGGGAGCCGTCACCGCCAAATTCTTCATCGACGCGCATTTATTTACACTCCACCAGCTGTGGTCGCTTGCAGAAACAAAAGGAAACTCGCGATTTTTATTGCAAATTCTTTTTTGTAGAATTTATTTTGATGAAAAAAAATTTGCGCAAAAAATAAAGATTCACGTCACATCAACTCCATACAAAATGAAAAGAGTGTTTTTTGTTTTTGTTGCAAACATTTTTTGCGAAAATCGACCTGAATTTTATGTGCTGCATTTTATTACTATTCATGGTTTGTCGATGAATAAATCATTTATTTCTTTTCTTTGTCTGCAGATCGGGTTCTAAGCGTTTGATCGAATTCAATATTTTTGACAATCGCAATCTGTTCATATACATTATGTGTCCGACGCTAAAATAAACTGTATGATGCTATTTGTAAATATAAACCATTTGTTGTTTGCTCTGCTCCTGTTTCATTTTATCTTCTTTCTTTGGATCGTTTCAAGTGTTTCGACGTGAGAAACATTTTTAAATTGAATTTTAGAATTTTTGGAAGTATTTAAAACAGACAGTTTTTGGTATGAATTACGCATTAAAATTCATTATTGACTGTGGCTAAGAATGCCAAAACGACATCCATCGGAAAATATGAGCAAAAAAATCCAATCAATCGCCATTTAGGTTATTGGCTAGGTCAAAAAGTTTACGTGATTCGATATAATTTTATGCAAAAAAAAAACTAGTTTTATTTTTCTGCTTTCTTGTGCAAATCGAATTTTCTGCTGATATTATCATAAATTGACGATGAAAACGAGTTTAGTGAAAAGAAAATATTTGATTTTTATGTGTGGCTAATAAAAAAATGAGTTTTTATAGCCCACAATCTCAATACCGAATATGTGCATATGCAACAAGCCTCTCTCGCTTAAATGCCGCAAAATATGTGCGAACAATAAAAATTACGCTTGAAACTTGTTTTTCTAATCGACCCGAAGGTCATTCCAATTTATATGTAAAACTTGCTCCTTTTTTGCAAACGTTTCTCTATTATAAATTGCGGAACTAAATGAATTCATTTTGAAAGAATCCAAAGCGTTAGGTCAAACCACTGATAAAAATCAAGAAATTCAAGAAAAACCATTGATCTGCGAAGCAACTTTGTTCATTTCCTTTTGTTTCTCAATAGGTTTGTTTGTATACAAGAGCAACTCTACCGAATTGTTTCATTCAAATGATGATATCAGTCGACGGAATTTTTCGAATAATTTTATTTAAGATAGATAAGCCGAAAAAATTGCAACCAATCAATTATGGCGATGAGTTGAAGTGATTTGTTTACCGTCAATTGCATTCAAAATGACAATCCATTGATAACACTTAACCACTGTGTGGCGTGTTTTCTGGTCGAATTTTGAAGGGTACGTAAAATAAGCAATGGAAAAAACGAAACGAATGGTGAAAACGAGATAAAATAAATGTGCAATATCGGCTCAAGCATCCGATGTGTTTGGATCTATTTTTTTTTAATTTGAAGATCAAAACAATAATATAAACAAAAGATAATGTCAAATGTCACAAATCAGATGATAAAAATCAATTTTAAAATGCCACTCTTCTGTTTACCACCTTCTCTTCTCATCTGTGCGTTTGCGGCTCTTTTTTTATCATGCGATTAAATGATCATCAATGATAAAGCGTGTGTATTTTTGGAATATTTGATAACCGGTTTGTTGCACTTCGAGCAGACAAAAAGAAAGACGTGCGCATTGACATCACATGTGGATAGAAATGTGGTTTATTGTTTTGAATGCACCATGCGACCCGAGAAATTATGATGACAATACACGTTTTTGTCAATAATTAAAGCAATCTTCACAAATGACCTTATGATAAACAAAAAAATCTGCCGAAATATTTAGTTTGGCTGTGTTTAAATTTAAAATTCATGAAACTTGATCAAAATACTCATTCTGAATATATAAACTTTTTGTTTGCCATTTGTGGTATATTTTGAGTAGCGACCAATCACAAGCAGCTTGAAAGCAACTTGCTTCGGAATGCAAAGAAAATTTTATAGAAATATTGTTCAATCAATTCCAAAGCCATTCGCATTTCGACACACAAGATGCAGTCCCTTCATATCAATTCGACATCTTCTTCATGTCAATTCGATCTTGAAGCCACAACTCTCTAGCTCTCTCTCTCTCTCTCGCTCA